CCGGCTCACCAGGCAATTGTGGACCGAACTTGCAGCTGTCATCCCAGATGACGCAGCCCATGAACCTTGTACCGTCACCCAACTCGCAGACGGCCTCCTTCACACCTTTCCCCATGATGCCCTACGGCGGCCTCTCGAACTTTGGCAACCCGATGGCCATGATGCCCTACGGTGGCCCTCCCAATTACGGCAACTTGGCACCTGGCACCATCATGCCGTTCATGACTCAGAGCAGCATGCCATCTTCACTGCCCGAGCCTCAGCCGGCGCGCGCGCCCGAAGCTGCCGCTGCGGCTCCTGCCGCTACCTCCTCAACCAACCACCCTCCCCCGGACACTCGCCACCATCCCCACTCTCGCAGATCCCGTTCCCGCCACAGACAGCACCGACACTCCCACTCCCACACCAGCCACCATCGCAGGCACAACAAGTCGCACCGACGACACGACACCCGGCGATCCCGCAGCTACAGCAGGTCACGTTCCCTTTCCCGACACTTCCACCACTCCCGACGTGCACACCACTCCACTGTCTCCCTCCGCTCCCGCTCCCCCCGACACAGGTCCCACCATCGCCACTCCCCTGCACCCAGAGCCACGACTTCGCACCGACCCACTCACACTACTCATGATTCCACCTCCTGGCGCACTTCCGGGAAGGATTCCAACAAGACTCAATGGTCCTCCTCACACTGGCGGAACCAATCGTGGGGATACCCACCACAGAACAAAAACCGCTGGGACATGCACCACCATGGCGCCAGCCACACCGGCCACCGAAACAACCAGGACAAACGATCGTCCTGGTCACTGCAGCACCATGGGCAGCAGCCCCACCCCACTTCCCGCACCGGCCACCACAACACTAGCTTGCCCCCTCACCCAGCACCTGCGGCGGCCTTCACTTCCACTCCCCCTCCCCCTCCCCGACCCACGCCGGCTACTCCTCACCCTCCCCAACCCCCCTTCGACAACACCGGTGATTTGGATCTCCCTCCATCGGAGGCGGACATCAATGCCACCACCACTTCCGACAACCGGTGGCTTGATCTATGGAGAAACGTCATGGACACGGCCAAGACTGACCCGCTGCGAGTTCCCACGCCTAGGGAGTTGGGGGAGCTGGACCCGCTTCCAGCCTTGGACATCTCCAAAATGGAACAGACTAAGGCCATTTTGATGGACCTGGACCCTGCTTTGCCACCTTCACATGCCGATCTCCTCGCGGAATGCTGGGAACTGCGAACCATGGACACGGATGATCCCATACCGTTCGATCCCAGCTTCTACCACCTCTTGGGACGGGAATCACACGGCATGGTGTTCGCAACCACTTGGTATCCCCGACCTCATCCTTGGCCAGTTGCTGGCGGAGACCCGGAAGCTGGATCCGGCACGGCCTCCCATCACGCTGTCATGTATGTGCACGGCACCACCCCGGATCGAGTGCGCCGCATGTGCCATGAGAACATGATCCGACCCGCTGCTTGGAGGCCCGAGAACCATGACTACCCGAGCTTTGGATGCTACGCTCAGGCCCCCCCCACGGCATGCACGCCCGACACGCTCGGCCAGCTCTTGCAGAACTTTACAATCGGAAAGTCTCAACTCGGCGCCATCGCTTTTGGGGAACTACGCCCCATCAATCAGCACAAAATCCTCGAATCCGGGGGAAGCCACGAGGATCAACACAACGTGCGGCGCCACTTCGCATGCCGCCGAGGCAAAAAGTGGTGCCTTCCCTCCAAGTTTGCGATGCTGAGAGGCATCGCGCTGCAGCGCCCGGCTTAGCGGGGCGCAAGTGTACCATCTTCCACCCAACCAGGAAAAGAATTGGTGCACTGTTTGATCGCCTTTTTTCTTTGCTTTGCTGTTCTGCCTTTCCGCGACCGTTCTCTCACCTTGTGACCTTACCCGCTTGATTCCGCTCACCAGCTGTTGGTTCGAACATTTCCTTTTCCCCCGTGTTTTCTCATGGCTTTCCAACCCCCTCGAGGTTTGGTTACGGCGCTCCAAAGGCAAAACTTACCACCGCAGCCTTCGCCCACGGCATCCCATCATCATGGCATCGTGTACGGCAACAACATGGCCGGGAACCCGTGCGGGGCCCTGTCCGGGTCTTCCTACGGATGCTCTTCCACGGCATCGGCACCGCCAGCTACACATCCGACTCCCTGTCAGACCTACGGCCAACCTATTCCCCGTTACCCACCACACCCCGGCCCTCGTCCACCCTCCTTTGGCGGCTCTCTCCCCCCCCCTCCCGGCGGCAACCCCTTTCCCCCCCCCTCCCCCCGGCCCCTTCTCCCGCCCTCCCCCTTCCCCCTCCCCCTCCACCGCCTCGCAATCCAAACCTCCCCCGGCCCTTCGACCCATCCACTCAGTCCCAACACCAACCGAGTTCAACCCTGGCGACGATCACTACGACACCACCCGCGTCGCGGGGTACGACCTGCCCAAGGTCATCACGCACACCGCGTTTACTCGGCAAATGGGCATCGAGGGACAAGACATCGCTCGCGTCCCCCTCCTCCACTTCATGCACGAACAGTGGAACAGTTGGTGGTTGCGTCACCTCGCCCACGGAGGTGAAGTCCGCATCGTTGTCGCAAAGTCGATGCCGGAATCAGTGTTTGCTGCTGGACTACTCAGCCAAATCCGACAACGGCACCTCGACCTGGACGCCCTCGCCCTCCATGTAGCCACGCAGGAGGGCGCCTCGACCACCAAACCAGCAGCCATGAAGCTACTCACCAGCAAGATCTTCGACTTCCTCATCTCCCTCCGACCCACCACTACGGCCGACCCGGCCTCCGCGGCCACCATACTCCAGCTTCAGCAACAGCTTCCCTCTCCCCCCACACCCACCTCATCCAACAAACGCCCAGCCAATCCATCTCAGGCCTCCCTCCTGGACTTCGGCATGAAGCGACCACGGTTGACTACACCTGACACATCACCGCAGGACGGATCCCCCGCTCTACCCCTGCCCACTCGCATTGCAGACGACTCCCAACCCCCCCCGGCTCCCCCCACCCACGGCGGCAACCCTCCAGCCCCCTCCACCCACGGCGGCACCCCGACCCCTCCCCCCCTCCCCTCCCCACCCACTTGGAAGGAGCCCCGCGACTTGCTCCAACCACCTCCCCACGTTTGCCAATGGCTCACCAGCAACTTCCCACCCGACATTTCCGACACCAAAGTCCAGCGATGGATCACCTCTCAGAAAACCAGCAAAGAGAGCAAGCAAGTCCTAAAAAGCTGGTCCAACGACTGCGCAAAATGGGCAACCACACTGGACTCCGACACCAGAGCCCAACTCGAACGAGCCGCTGTGCTATGGGGCATCCCGGTGCGAACCCTATCAAAACTGGGGTCATCGGCCTTGGGCCGCATCCTGGCCGCTGCGAGTCACTTCTACCAGTGACTCTCAACAGCACACCGACAACGACGCACAGCCAGGCAGCACAAATTTTGGCAACACCACTGCTGCCAACTTCTCACTGTCCTCCGTTTCACTCTTCGGTTCTTCCCAACCGATGACGTCACCGCACGTCATTCTTGCTCCTGGCTACTCGCACAGCTTCAGCTACTTGACGTCTGCCATCTCTCCTGTGGTTCCGGCAGACTGAAAGCCCTGCTTACTCGACTTGGCCTGGACAACCCTGCTTCCGATTTCTCTTCTCAGCTTGTCCCTTCAGCGGTTTATCTGAGATTCACCAGCCATCCAAAGTGGCAGGCCTTTTTCTACCTCGGAGCCACTCGCGCCTCCCTCATGGCACGGGGCCGCAGCCAACTTCGCAAACTACTCCAAGTTCAGCGACATCATCTGGTCAATGCCGAACTGGCAGTCCGGTGGTGGGCACATTTTGACTTTTTCCACCACTACACCTCGGTGCCCATTCACACTGTCGTTCCGGCAACGGACCTATTTGCCACTGAACAGTTCTACATCCAGGAACTGCAACCGTCTCTCAATTTTGGCTTCATCGAGAAACATTTCCGGCCACGCACGGGCTTCAAACGCCAATTGGACTTCTCCCAATCCCGGCACATGGGCTTCGCCACCATCTGGCGAAAACGCCGCCGACTACGACTACCCATCGCCCTACAACAGGCCTTCCTGGCCAAACGCGTGGACAACCGCCTGGATTTGTGGCGATTTTTGGGCGATCTTGGCAGCAACACTCTACGACGATTTGATGCCATCCGTTACATACGGAGCAGAGACTTCCCACCCGCCGCTCTCTATGTCCTTCATCGCATAGCCACACACCTGCCTGAACCACACCACCAGGCATGCCTTTCCGCCATTCGATCCAGTTTACAATTCCGGGGCCTCATTCCACCTGGCCCCTCCAGACCGATGCTTGCACCCTTCCTCGCCTGGCGACTACTGCTAACCTGGTACCGACAACGACAACCACACTCCTCTACCACACACCTCACAGTGGACACACTTGACACCTCTGCCATCACCCGCGTCTACAACGGACGCCGTCGCCGACACAAACCCACACAACGCACCCTGTGGCTCGACGACATCCCCGAGATCATTCAGGCCACCCTTGACATGCAGATCTTCTCTGTCGGCCTTCGTTCATTCAGGCAAACACGTGGGGCACCGATGGGATCCCCCGCGTCCCCAGCTCTCTGTTTGATGGTGATCGCGGTCGCCGAACAATGTTGGACCAACACTCACATCACATCGGGACTTCGCTCCGTTGAAGATACTCTCCTACTCCGCTACGTGGACAACAGACTCGTGATCGCAACCCCCAGGTGGCTCTCGACTCCGGCAGCCAACATACTGTGCGACGAACACTTCTATGGAGGAGACATCCTCCTGGACACAGAAGCCGCCCTGGACTTCTTGGGGTTCCGACTGAACCTCACAAGCAGCACCATCTCCTTCATCCCCTCGCATGAGAAGCACAACATGCTCTCCGTCAAGTCAGCCGCACCACTGATGCATAAGGAATCTGGATGTTATTCCGGACGCACGCTGATCAACCGAGTTTCCTTTCCTGAGTTTCAGCGAGGTCAGGGTCTTGCAATGTTGAAGAGGTTGCACCTCCAACACGGTTTCACCTTACAAGAGAAGAAAAACCGTCCTTTGCGGAACCACACTGGTTTTCTTCTCTGCCTTTGCATCCTGACAGATTTGACCTGATTTTCGCGCCGCAGCTGTTTGACTGTTTGACCAAAATCCGTTACGAGCATGGATACCAACACGTGCCTTTCCAAGAACCATTCTGAGTTTCTTCATGCCCAACAATCCTGATGCAGATTTCCCGACCTGAGTTTTCGACGCAGCCGAACCTGATCATTTGACCAAAATCCGTTACGAGCATGGATACCAACACAGCACGCCAGCTGCTCCAAGACTTCGAACTCATCCTTGGCATTGCCCAACAAGGCATCGCCACCATCAGCGAGTTCCCTGAGAGTCCGCCTGCCGAACCTGATTTGGCACCGGAGGCCACGCTCAACCCCGCCATTGAGGACCTGACCAACTCACCACCTCCTGGCCCCCCTCGAGGACCTCTTTGAGCCACCTCCTGATGCTCCAGATGAACACCTTCCCACTGATCATGACGAACAATTCCCTGATCATTGGGCTCCGCCCACCCCTCCTCCGTCTTCTCCCGGCGAAAAACGAGCTCGCCGCGCACGTGATTTGGCCTCCTCACGATCTACGGCATCCAAAACCTGCTCGTGGACCAAGCGAAGCTACCACATCGACCAGGACTGATGCCTCTACTGAGGCCGAACCTGAAGCCTCGCAGCCTTGGACTGAGGGAGAGATTGAACTCCTCCGTTCCCTTAAGACCAATTCCAAAGCCAAGTATGTGTGGTCAGTCATCGCCACAAGACTTTCTCGCACAATTGATGCTTGCAAGACTCAATGGGCCTTGCACAAGTGATGTCGCCCCAGTTGGGGCTCCGTGTGTGTGAAGCGTCCTGGAGCACGGACGGAAATTCCACATTGCAGGGGGACCAGGCGTCTTGCTGCTGACCTGGTCTAACAAAGCTAGGCAGCAAGACGGGATACCGGAATTGGCCATTCCGGCGTACCTGCCATCCTTTCGTGACCTAATGTGTTTCCTCGGTTTACCACTGTTTGCTTCATGTTCGGTTTCGATGATGTGACATTTGCACTGCAGATTGATTTTTTCATGCCCTTTTCAGTACAATCGCGTGTCTGCAAGAGCAGCCTCTCGAGATAAGTGTGTGTGTGTGTGTGTGTGTGTGTGTGTGTGTGTGTGTGTGTGTGTGTGTGTGTGTGTGTGTGTGTGTGTGTGTGTGTGTGTGTGTGTGTGTGTGTGTGTGTGTGTGTGTGTGTGTGTGTGTGTGTGTGTGTGTGTGTGTGTGTGTGTGTGTGTGTGTGTGTGTGTGTGTGTGTGTGTGTGTGTGTGTGTGTGTGTGTGTGTGTGTGTGTGTGTGTGTGTGTGTGTGTGTGTGTGTGTGTGTGTGTGTGTGTGTGTGTGTGTGTGTGTGTGTGTGTGTGTGTGTGTGTGTGTGTGTGTGTGTGTGTGTGTGTGTGTGTGTGTGTGTGTGTGTGTGTGTGTGTGTGTGTGTGTGTGTGTGTGTGTGTGTGTGTGTGTGTGTGTGTGTGTGTGTGTGTGTGTGTGTGTGTGTGTGTGTGTGTGTGTGTGTGTGTGTGTGTGTGTGTGTGTGTGTGTGTGTGTGTGTGTGTGTGTGTGTGTGTGTGTGTGTGTGTGTGTGTGTGTGTGTGTGTGTGTGTGTGTGTGTGTGTGTGTGTGTGTGTGTGTGTGTGTGTGTGTGTGTGTGTGTGTGTGTGTGTGTGTGTGTGTGTGTGTGTGTGTGTGTGTGTGTGTGTGTGTGTGTGTGTGTGTGTGTGTGTGTGTGTGTGTGTGTGTGTGTGTGTGTGTGTGTGTGTGTGTGTGTGTGTGTGTGTGTGTGTGTGTGTGTGTGTGTGTGTGTGTGTGTGTGTGTGTGTGTGTGTGTGTGTGTGTGTGTGTGTGTGTGTGTGTGTGTGTGTGTGTGTGTGTGTGTGTGTGTGTGTGTGTGTGTGTGTGTGTGTGTGTGTGTGTGTGTGTGTGTGTGTGTGTGTGTGTGTGTGTGTGTGTGTGTTTTTTGGAATTAGATAATTCGGAAGAAACGGGATGCATCTCAAACGTCTAGACTTGTCATTCACCAACCTGGCTCTCTTTTCATGCGCTCTGCAAGGGGTTGCATTGCACCAGCAACACATCAGAAAGATGGTTGAGCCACAAACACAATCACTTCGCCGTACTGCGCCGGAAGGAAGTGGGAAACAATGGGGCTTGCAGGCAAAATATGAACATGATTCTTGGAACCCCAACAAGCTTCTTTAAACACAACTCAGGTCAGTGCTGGGCTGATGCACCCTGCGCAGAGCACGCCGTGAGCATGAAGCACAATGATGCAGTGAGCGCACCCTGGGAGGAAAGCAATTGAAACACTCAAGTGGTACTAAGAAGGCATCATCTTCCATCCAACCAGGGCAAGAGGTTGGTTTGGGTTTGATTTGGGTTGGTTTGGGCGGAGGTTAAGGGTTGGTTTCGGGATAGTTCATACTCTCCTGCACAAGCAGGGCGGGTCATCCACAGGTGGACTCTTACCAACATTGGCATCTATTTGTATCCTTCGAAGGTGTTCTGCACGCCCTGCCCCCCTCTGCCAATCGACCAGTGCAGTCTGAGCCGGGGCACTTTGCCAAGCTGTCTGCGATGGCATAGCTCACCACTTCCAACCTCCGCTTGGAATGAGCGATCAGGTCAGGGTTAGCCTTTTGGTTTCGGAACACTTTCACCGTCCCAAAACTCAGTTGTTCAGGAACCTTTTTTTGGGAAGACCATTTTAGTGGGGCAGCCACCAAGAAAAAAGGGACAAAGGGGGCCACTGAACAACTGAGAAAAGGGTCTGGCGAAATGCTAGTGCATTCCTCTCAATATGCTGGTGCATTCCTCTCAAGGGGTTGCCAAGCCGAATCCACCGACCTACGACATCCGAACCTCAAATCAAGAAATACCGACGCGAGGTCGGTTCCGTTGGCCAGCGCCAAGCCTCAAGCACCTTTATCTCAAGGTACATTGGCACTGTGAGATCAATTGACCTTCAAGGTCGGCAAACTGCAGATTCTGCGCAGCTCACACTTGAGTTTGCGTACTTGGCTGGTTCCGAACTCTGAGCTTACTAGCTTTGTCTGTCCCATTCTGACTGCTTCCAGCCTGAGATCCACTGAGCGAATGAAGCCAGGTGGCTCCACTGGGATGGTGTGGGTCATCTCGGCCAAGCAGAAAATCACGGGGTACAGGCACCACACCTCCTCAGCACGGCGGATCTGAATCCGGACTCGGGAGACCCCCGAGACCAAACAGAACACCAAGGGACCAGGTATGAGAGGTCCCCGGAAGACGATTTCCCTTCTGCGAATGCCACTTCCTGACCATTTTTTCTGCCACAAACCCATGGGGAACTAGCCAAAACCGAACACGCATCAACCTGCGAAAACAAGAACGGGGGTGTGTTATTGAGAAGAACCTCGTAAGTTTGAAAGAAAGCCACCATGAAAACCACCGCTTTTGCGGGTCCCAAAAAAAAGAAAAGGGCACCTACAAACAACACACCTCCATGCACTCCAGCTTGGCAATTCAGATGTGCTCCTGTCAATTTCAAGCCGAAGCAATCAACCTGATCCACGTTCTTTCTTAAATGGGACACGGTGCCACCCCATTGATGAACCAGGATTGTACTAATCCTGGTTTCCCATTACGAAGGTATCATCAACCCTGGCCTGGCTCTGCCGTAAGCTCCGTAAGTTTGCCTGAGTCCAGTTGTCGGAGTGGGCGGGCTGGCCACTTCACCCATGAACAAGTCAAGGCCACGCTACAGGACACCCTCAAGGACCAAAAGGAACCCAAATCTGCAGTCGCCACTTGAACTTCAGTAAACCTAAAACCGTTCTCATAAAAGATCTAGTGTAAATTCCTCTGTAAACTTTAAGTAAAAGCAGACTCTTGGTCAAGAAGAGCACGAGAGACACAGGTCGAAGGACACAAAGAATGAGCACAAAGAAATACTCCTCTCCAAAGTGACCAAGATTGGACTACAGCCAACGCTCCGATCAACGTGACTACTACCGGAAGAACAACTACTTGTAGACTTCATAACTGGAGAACAACCAACTAATCCCAATGACGATGGCTCCCGTGCTTCCCTGAGCAAGGACATCCAGGTATCACTCATCTCGAAGAAGGTTCAACCTGTGGCACGACAATACAGCAATCAGAGAAATGGCGCCTTGTCAAGCTTGTTTCATTTCGTCCCCCAGAAACGACGCTTTCCATTTTCTGAAAGCGAGGTAGGCGGGGGGCACATTTACTGAGTGTCTCTTTTTGCGACAAGTCATTTTGAGACGCAAGAAAAGATGAGTCAATAGTAGCGCGCTATATGGCTACGCCACAATACAGAATAACTCAACGTGCGAGGTCAAAAGCCTTGTGAATGTCTGCTTTGTTCCTTGTTGGCTTCCATCAATCACGACTCTGGGCCACTTTGGCTTAAGTGTTTTTGCTTCTGTCGTATAACTCACATTCATGCGATAGAGAAAAGGGCCATAGCGCTCCCCCGGACGCATTAAGAACACGAGACCAGAGTACCCATTCATTCCCCATTCTCCTGTACATCAACAACTCTCCCTACTTGGCAACAGGTCCAGATAGGACCAACGTGTACTGCTCAGGGACCCGGACCCAAGCGTCAGTCCACAGAAGGAAGGGTTTCCCTTGAAAATCACGGCCAAAAACGGCTGCCTCTTTCCATCTACTTGCTGTCCGTGCACCGAGCTGCTTGTGTCCCTCGTTCTCGCCGCCGCGCCGCGGGCCCCACGTCGACGCCGAGCACTGCCGCGAGTGTAAAAAAGGCAAGCGATGACAGATTCCAGCAGGAGCCAGCGCCGAAACGCACCGCGTCGCTTTGGAGCAAAGGCCCGAAAACCGATTCGCACAGAGGCCCGCGCCTGCAGCAGGCTAGCGCGTGCAACAGTACGGGCTATGCCGTTCCAAATCGAGCTTTAGGCCAGCCCAAGCCTGCCATGTCATTTTCAAGCGAAAATTGGCCCGAGCCATTTTTGCACGCAACGGCCGCGGGAAGCCAAGAACACGCACGGATTCGCCGCGGAAAGCCCGAGCGCTCGTGCTCGGCGAGAAAAGGCCCGGGAAGCCCGGAACGAGGCCCGAAATTCACCGATTCGCAACGGGAGTTGATTTGGCAGATTGCTAAGCAAAGCTTAGGTAGAACAACTCCAGCTGGTGCTGTCGTTCCGCTCCACTACCACACGTGACTGACGCTACGGGCAGGGAACCCCTTGAGCAAATACATGTTGGTCCTATCTGGATCTCTTTCCAAGCAAAGAGAGTTGTCGATGTACAGAATGAGGAATCAATGGGAACTCTGGCTTTCACTCTTGCTCTCAATACGTCGTATCTGAGTTCTACGGCAGAAAAGGGCTCTTGAGCTAAAGTGGCCAAGAGTCGTCACTGGAAGATCCATTGCTTGGCCAAACACAGACCCGCCCCCTCCCCCCCTCCCCCCCCTCCGAGAGGAAGCCACAGCCAAGGCGCCATGGTGCGGCTGGCCACAAACTTGAACTTCCGCTGCGCATCGACGCCGTCCGTGCTGCCTCGGGGCTCCCTTTGTATAGAGAGAGAGAGAAAGAGAGAAAAAGAGAGAGAGAGAGAGAGAGAGACAAAAAGGAGAGAGAGAGAGAGAGAGAGAGAGAGAGACAGGGAGAGGATCATGGTATAACTACACGTATGCATGCATATGTTTGACATCTACAGCCCTTTGGACATCATTTCGGTGGGGATTGATGTAGCTTGGTGAGTAGGCATTGATCTGTCACAGACGCTTGAAGCGGCCAAAGGACTGTTTGGCCACCGGAGGACCTAAGCCACAACCTGAGCCACTCACTTCGCCCCGCTTGGATGGTTTAAGTGGAAAACCAAGGAAGCCAAGGACCCAGGATCTTTGGTACTTCCTCACTCGCTTTGAGGATCTTTGGACGACCCAGCTCGGCGCCCGCGAAGCAAAAGAAAACATGGGCGCGGCGCCTTTCACTTCTGCCGCAGTGGTAAGGACGTGGTAAAGGATGCTCATCACCGCGATGAAGCACATCACCGCGGCCCCGTAGTATTGCCACTTGCCTTTCGGATGCGTGATCCGAAACGTGTGATGTGGGTGTGGCGTTTGCAGGTAGGCTCGAGGAAACGGCAAGGACACCCACCCATGTGGGGGAGTCCCCTGCCCGAGTGACCAAACAACAACACCCAGGAGACCATGCAAGTTCAAAGTTCCATGCAGACCAATTGCAGTCCATTGGAATCCAAGTTTCGATCCTGGCTGCGCGGGATTCCCTGAAAACTGACTCAGAACCTTCAAATAATGACCTCCCAGGTGGTCTCAAGATTCTTTATTTGGGTGCAAGGCCATGCAAGACCAGATTGTATCCAACGAGCACAAGCTGATTCAAACGCATGGCTCTAGCAACTGGCTCTCAACTATCTCACGCATCCTTTTGGTCACCCAGTGGCGCTACATATATTGGGAGCTTGTGCGGGTATGTGTGGGGGGTTTGGGCAGGGCAAAACCCTTATGGCCACTCCCTCAAACCCTGTCGCCTTCCTTCAATGTCTAATGCATGTACATGAATTTTCGCAGTGGTATATGTACACTTGCATATACAGGTGTGTGTTGCCGGCGCCCGCAATACTACAAGTCTGAAAACATTGATTTGAATGTAAATGCGATGCCTGCATCTAACAACGCACCGCGCAACGCGGAGAATGTCCCGCAAATGCAAGCATGCCAGTGGTGCCACAGCGTGCAGAACAAGAACAAGAGCGTGGTTAACATGTGCTGCAGACTTAGCAAGAAGGCCTGAAAACAAGAAGTGCACTGCACTAACGAAGCTTTGTTTGCAAGTGTTGTGCAATTTGGCTGCCTCGCCTGGGAAAAATTCAAGCCGAGTCCATGACAAAACGGTCCGGGACTTGCTATGCCCCTGTGTTTCTGTCGAGGCGTTGCATTTCGACTCGGCGGCGGTTGGCGATTTCCCATTTCGCCGGTGAGGCGCGGTTTCCAGCGCCGGCACCATGTTTCTGCATATGGCGCAGTGGTTGGGAGACCCTCCAATGGTCACAACTCGATTGGCAAGAAACCGCAGTTTGTGTTTCCCAAAAGAATCACTTGCTGGTGCGATAGGCAGGGAATGAGAGATGGAATGACCATCTCTAAACCCATCCGACTGGTGCTTGCCTTGAAGGGGACCAAAGCCTGGGTGCATTCCAATTCTCATTCCTTACTGAGCACCGGCAAGATCAAGTCCAGAAACGTGGCCGAGGCAAGTTGATGTCGCCGCCTCCAAACTATCAATGGCCGGACTTGAGGGCTGAGACTTGAGGGTCGAGGTAGGTTGGTTTAGGGAGACAATCCACATGTGCATATATATATATATGCACATGAATACATACATATATGTATATATATATATATAGGCAAATATGGGTGTATTTACGTACATATGTGCACATAGATGGCTGGTTTCTGCGCCTGAGTGACATTATATCTGGATACCACACGCCACTTGGGAGGATGGCTGAGATCTAACAAGGAAAACGGAGACCAAGAACGCACAGCTGCCCGGTTCAAAAAGCCCACCTGTGTGGTGCGTAGATAGGTCTTGATACATCCCAGCTGTCTGCTTGGCTCAGAGAAACGGCTGCGTCGCTTTAGCTCGAACCTCAAAAGTGGAACCGTCAGCCAGCTTGATCCTACGTGACCTTTTGGAAAACAACCGGGGCTGGTAAATTAGACCTGGGCGCTCGATTCTCACCGAGCAGCGTCCTGAAGTTGACGGACCGGACCGGACGTTTTGGACCAACCACGCCTGCGCTCCACGCAGTTGTGGCCGCGCAAGCCACCAGCATGATCATCAAAACGTCCAGGGAGACGAGCAAAAGGGTGTTCTTCATGCTAGCGCCTCACGGTCATCCTACCTTACCAGTTTGGTATACCAGGAAGCCGGAATCAATTTTGCGGGCCGTACATTCAATTGGGCAGCCAAAGAGCTCTGCGCCTGGTGAAAGGTTGTTGGCCAAGCTGTGTGTGACACCACAAACTGGTTGTTTGAGAATCAGTCTTGTTCTTTCGGGAAGCTGAGTGTACCTACCATCTAGAGAGGTGCAACGCGCTTTGGAGAATGTGCAAATACGGCGCCAGGTTTAACAGCGTACACTTTATTCAGATTCCTTCACACACCCAGATCTTGGGGCCACCCAACTTTCAGCGCTGTTAGCGCTTCTTGAAACGGATTCGTTTCTTCACACCTGTTTCCTTTCAACATAAATCAGCAAGGGGTCCCTACCTGCTTTTGACGCAAAAACCACACGCAGACGCACCCGCACGTGCAAACCACACGGCTGGTGCGGTTTCCAAAAGGCTGAAACTGCCTCGGGGCATAGAACAGAAGCGTATCACTCACAGTCGAAACAGAAACCCTTCATCGCATAGCCTATGTGTCAAACCAAGAGAACCTGAAAACGGGTCCTCCAACACAAGGTGAACCAAGCTCCCCCAAAGCAGGGTTCCTTATACTTCCCAGTAAAACATCAGCCCTACCAAGCGTCGCTCACCTTTTTCTAGGCCCAAAAGGTGATGCTGAAAACCACCCTTTGAAGGGAAATATGGCGACGGTTCAAAAATTGGTACCCAAAGTGGCAATTCATCTTGAACTCATCCAGAAAGGGCACGCTATTGCTGGACCCTTCCTTCCCAACGTAATGTTGACAAGGGCTTAATAAACCCGCCGCCAGAGCGTGTAGATGGCAAGCCGCACTTGCTCTTCCCTGGGAAATTTCTTAGGCCGAAGGCTTTCGGGAAGGCCATGTTTGGCGAAAAATTTGCCGGGTGTCGGTCTCAAGAATCGACGCATTCCCAGCAGTATCAGGGTTGTCTTGGTGGCTAATATCAATGGCGCGTTTGTTTTGAGCGATGTTGGATTTGGCATGTTTGGGGTCTTGGCGGGGGCAAGTGTAGTGACGATCTGAGGAACTGCTAAAATTAGCAAAATGTGGTCGCTGCAACACATCATTGTGCTTTTAGAAGTCTATATTGCGGGTATTTGAAGGGGAGTTGGTGTCATCTTTTTTAAAGTCGATTTTTGGGAAACATCGAGAAACCATGTTTTTTTTCACGCTGCATCCCAGCATTTCCTGCATTCCCAGCATTAGTTGAACTTCGGACAACATTTTGCATTTCGTCCGGCCTGGTGTCTGGCTGCATTCGAAGCATATGGGCGGGATAGGCGGTCAGTCGCGGCAGTCCAAAAGTGATAAATCCCCACTAAAGCCAGCAACGCCGCCATATTAAGAAACAGGGGCGTAGTAACTGACCAAACATCTGGGCTCATCGGCGCCCCGAACGCTCCGAACGCCCCCGCCTCGCATCAGCGCCAGGTCCAGCAAGCACAGGGCCGTGCTGAAGATCCAATCCGCGTAGCGCAGGCAGAAAACGCGCCTGCGCGTCTACGCGGCTCGTTTGCGGCTCGTTTGGACGAGGGTCCTTCGGTTGGGAAACGAGGAAACTTTTTCCAGGTGCCACTAGAAAATTTCAGGAGAGTTGAAGAAACTTTTTCAGGAAACTTTTTCAGTTGAAGAAAATGGACTCCACAACATCGAAGCCAGAGAGTGTGTGTTCTTGCTACAACATGAGTATCGTTGCAAGCGGCCAGTCACAGCCAACTAGTGGGCATGACCCTTAACCGCTGTTGAGCTTGTTGACGTATTGAAAAATGATTCTGTGTCGATGTTGGCTGATCACTGATCCCGTATGTGCAAACTCTTCACTTGATCACAACTGTCACGGGCCATATATATATATATATATACATATATCATATATATATATGTGTATATACTATCATATATATATATATGTATATATATATATATGTACATACATGTTGCATACACGTTAGCTTTGTAGCTCGCACTCTGGCTCACCAGAGAGACTTTTTTGATCGGCAAGGGCGACGGGAAGAAGACACAACAATTCCCCACAAGCATTGCATGACCATGCCCGGGAAGCGCAAGTGCTTCCATGGCACAGACAGAATCACGGGCAATTTTCCAGGTCCAGTGGGAGGTATGTGCCCGGGAGATGGCTGCAAAGAGTCGCCAGGATGTGAGGGACGCTCAAGATGGTGATGACTCGCCCCGAGCGGCGAATGGCGAACGTGGCTTGAGACTCTTCCCACCTGGGGCGCAACTGATGAGTTGGCCAAAGCGAAATGAGCAAATGGCATGGTGAGGGACACCAAAAGGAAGCCACAACCATTTGTCGCGTCGCATTTTGAGAAGCAAAAGGAGCCAACCGGCAAGTAGGAGCCGAGCACCAAGATGAAGATGGCGGTATCTTTCTCGTGAACCCTCTTGTGATCTTAAAGGAAAAATCTCAAAAATAACCAAAAACGAATAGCTGCTTGTCAGGCCGGAACGCTGGGGCAAACCAGCTGTCAATCTGCAGCCGCGACCGTAGCAACCGGGTGCCGTTCTTCACCATACGAGCCCGGCAGCCCGGCTCAGGGGACGGCCTGTTTGCCCTCGCCCAATTTGAAGGTCGAGAAGTCTGGAGGACGAGACTTCTGCTGTGCCCACTGACCTTTTCGGCCCGGCTCAGGAGAAGGCGCTTCGCAGCTCAAGCGGCCAAGCAGCAAGCCCTCGACAAACAAGGTCCAGAAGTCTGGACCAGCAAATGTGCCTAGCCTTGGAAATTCCACGCCCCAGCAAATCGGGCGCTGGAACCCAGCTGAAGCGCTACCCATCTACTTCGAACCCATCAAAAGGACTAAATCCTGCACCACTTTGACACCTTGGGAAACCAGTACTTCTTGGTATTTACAGGGGAATCGGCCATCAGTAGGACACAAGCCGGAAGGAGTGTTCAGGAGGGCCGCCAGGGCAAAGTGCTTCTCAAATGCTGGACTGCCTTTTGGTTGAGGATTCAAAAGGACCTCAACCATTTTAGGGCTTTGTTTTCCCCCAAAAACAAGGACGCAATGATTCTGCAACACAATGGGCAACGAGTGCCAGGTGGAGCACATGTATCTCAAATTCCCTAGTCGCCCAAGCCTGAGGCCCGAAAACGGGAGCCCAACTTTTCTAAAGTTCCAATTTCTGGAGATCAAACCAACAAAATGGAAAAGCAGCTCAGACTCCCCTTGCAGACTGCCCAATTCGCCCCCTCCTTCCGTCCACCATGTTGATGAACAAGCCCTGCGACATGCCGAGGTACGCCGAGCCCGCAATGAGGGTGTTCAGCACGGCAATCTGAAGGCCAAGGAGAAAGGCATCCACTGAACAGGGTCCTTGAAGGGCAATCTGAAGGGCATCCTCTAAATCAGAGGGTACAGGTGACTTTTCAATCGGAAGATGTATCCTTTAAGGTACCCCTTTCAGCACGTGCACTTATGCATTCCCCTGGACATTGGGGACCCGCTTCTTTTGGTTGCAAAGGGAGACAAGACAAACCATTTGGTTGGGGGGAACCTCCTACGCACATCCAGTTGTCCCATTCCTTCCAAAGGACGCCTTGTGCCCCGGGACTCTAACAGCACCCGGCAATAGTTCCCGGTTGCCTTGCGCATTGCAGGGTTTTTTCATGTTTACCCTTTCACACACCCAATCTGAGGGATCCCGGACCTTCGTCATGGTGAGCTCGTAATCCCCCCAGGCGAGCTCAGTATAAAATAGGCAGACCCAATACATTCATAAATACAAACTTTGAGCGGGTGCCAGAGTACATGCTCAGTTGTTCTCGGGCGATACTAAGATATGAGTGTCCCTGCTTAAGCCAGGCCATGTTTGCGTTTTATCATTCGTAAGTCGCCTTCCCCATTTGGTTCTGAAGGAAGCTGGTCATGGCGAATGAATGCTGTGTTTTAGATGCCTCAAGGAGTTTGAATATAATATATATATATATATAAACCAAAAACCGTTATCAAAAAAACAAACAACACGAAACCTCAAATACAAGCCTCTACAATTACCTTCCCCATTCTTTCCAGGTATCCTTCTTTCTAGAAAACCTCTGGAAACCCAGGGAAAACGGCCGGTTTTTGGAAAGAACGATGGTTGAAAAGAATGGGGAATCAACCCCTAGAAAGCCGAATAACTCCGTACTACAAATTGCAAAATTATGATGTGTGACTGGGTGCCAACGGCTTTCGTGCTGCGTTTGGTGTCTCACAGAAGCAACAAATCTGGTTCTCCATGAAGAAACACTTGGTTGACGTTGGAAGGGGAGCAAAAACATTCAGATTTTAGCAGTTAAGTGGTTGGATTTCAACCACTAAACCACAATAAGCAAAATGTAAAATGTGTCCCAACAACAACCATGAAAAGGGAACAGGCAGTTTTGAAAACGAGCACCGCAACCATTTCCGCAGAAACGACCAAACTGCTTCCACCGAAAGCAACAAATGCCCAAACTCTACAACATGTTTGTAGTTGCTCTTTAGCTTCTCTGTAGGCCAACCCCCAAAAGAGTACCCTCCCTGCCACTAACATAGCACCTCACAGGGAGTTCCTTTAAGAGGAAACTGATCTTTCAAATACCTTCCCGCAGGTGCTACGTTTGTTGGAGGAAGAGCACCCTGAAACATGACACGAATGAAATTTGGGTTCTCCCAAACACGTCCGAGGACAAGCGCGCCGTTGTGAAGGCTCTGGTGCTGTCCCTTCCTTGGATCGAGAGAAGGTGCACCGTTTTGCTGTTTGAAGAGTGGCCAGAAGAGAACCCGTCAGTTTCAGGGCTCCAATTTCCTACGTTAGGAAAAACAACTCAGGGGGTTGTGGAACTCCACTGAAGCCGTCAGCGGACTATTGCAGCTACCCTCCCACCAATTCATAAATAACAAAAACAAAAAAAACAACGACGTGGGGGGGGGGGGGGGAGTCCTGGAAGAGCGTTTTCCTTTTAAAGTAGGTTTCATGTTAATTGGTGGGAGGCTACCGCACGCAATGGAAAGCAAGGCAGCTGAATAATCGGGGTTCTTGGACCCCTCAAAATGGGTCATCCCGCTCCAACTGTGCCAAACCCTTGCGTTTTGGGAGATGCGTGCAACCCTCCGATGTACTAAGGAATTCAAAGGGACTCAAACCCAAACCGCTGCCTGCATCTTGCGTACACCAAACACAGCACCACAAACTCACACACACACACAAACACACAAACACACGAACACACGAACACACGAACACACGAACACACACACACACACACACACACACACACACACACACACACACACACACACACACACGCAAACACGCAAACACGCAAACACGCAAACACGCAAACACGCAAACACGCAAACACGCAAACACGCAAACACGCAAACACGCAAACACGCAAACACGCAAACACGCAAACACGCAAACACCCAAACACCCACACACACACACACACAAACACACACACACACAAACACAAACACAAACACAAACACAAACACAAACACAAACACAAACACAAACACAAACACAAACACAAACACAAACACAAACACAAACACAAACACAAACACAAACACAAACACAAACACAAACACAAACACAAACACAAACACAAACACAAACACAAACACAAACACAAACACAAACACAAACACACACACACACAAACACAAACACAAACACAAACACAAACACACACACACACCAAACGACAGGCACAAAGTCATAACGAATGAGACCGAAGTGTCACAGGCCTACATAAGAGCTGGCATCCATCTAGAACTCTGTTGATGACAGGAAACGGCATGTTGACGTGTCCAACAGCAGGGGCCCCAAACAAACAACGCCAAAGACAATACCAATCAGCAGCAAAAAAACAGTTAAAGCTAAAGTCCGAATTGCCATGAATATAAGCCTCCCGGCTCGAGTAACCACAGCTGTTGGGAGCTGAATCATGCTCAATTTCCAGCCACGTTGCGGCCCATGATGAACAAGGTGAAGCCGCTGAGGTAAAGAAAAGCCGCGGCCAGCGCCATCACGGCCTTTTCCAATTGCCGTGATCGCTGCGTAGGTCTCAAAATAGGGAAAGCCCATGTTGGATGGGATTTCAAGGGAGACCAAAAGGATACAAACCGCCTGCAGGGCTCCGTCATGTTGGGGAAAAAGAAAGGAAAAACGGCACCCTGGTAGAGAATTTGAACCCTTTTTGTGGGTTGACCATATTCAGTGGCGAACTCGCCGAACATGGTGCCTCTGAACAACTGGGGCCTCGTGCGCTATGCATCCCTGCACAGTGCACACTCTGATGCAAGCTGGGCAGAGTTGGTGGTCGATGATGCTAGCTTGTATCGGTGAGTGAGAAGGCTGCCCTTTACAAATATTTACATGATTGTCTTGGCAATTTGCAGGGTAAAGCGAGATCATCCCAACAAAGGGAGGAAGTTCGTGAGTAGCCTGGCCACCCCCAGGTGATGAACACCGTGACACATGCCCACAACGTCCAGCTCCCCAAGTATTGAGAAAGAAAGCCATTAAACATTGCCCTGATGTCCACATTGACATTTTGAACCCATCAAAACCCGGTACTAAAATGGTCGACCCATAACCATCAGAAGGCGGCCGCAGCTATCTATGGTTGGGATTGTCCCTTACTAGCCTTCATCTACCCGGGTATCGATTGTGGCTCGTCAGAGGTTGCTCCAATGGTTTTCCAGGACCCCAGGTGAGGCTTCATGCGGGCGTCCGGTTTCTTTCCTGCAATATTTCGGGGATCGACCCCAGCTGGGCCTTCGAGAAAAATCGGCGGCGTTGGTAAACGAGCACAAATGAATCAAACCAGCGGAGCTCATCTGTTCAATCTGGGGTTGTCCTCAGATCTCCTACAAGTTTAACTTTTGGCGGGTGAAATGGACACCTAAAACCCAAAAAAAACAAAAAACAAAAACCTGAAACCTAAAAAACCTAAACCTGAAACCTTCCACTAAAACCCTAAAAACCCCAAAAAGCAAAACACACCTCAGGAACCGGATGGCTGGGCAAGCGCCACCGAGCAATCCACGGCCTGGTTCCTACCTTCCCGCCTGGAGCATCGGCTCCGGAGGTCCTACATCAACGGCGGCCATCCTGCGCCGACCAAAACGGGACTGAGCCGCTCTGCCGACGAAGCGCTGGGTCAGATCCCTTGGCGTCTGGTAAGCTGTGGATTTTGGGGTAGAAAAGGGGCGCCCACAATGCCCCAGCGCTGAATGATTTCCAGCGCCAGCTGTCCTTGGAAGTGTCTGTGGATTTTGAGGGATAGATGTCCATGCAGGAAAAAGGGCGACTGTCTTTGGGTTTCCGTGGATTTTGTGTCTTTGGCAGTGTTTTGGATTTTGAGGAAAGATGTCCATGCAGGAAAAAGGGCGACTGTCTTTGAGTTTCTGTGGATTTTGAGGGAAAGATGTCCATACAGGAAAAAGGGCTACTGTCTTTGGAAGTTTCTTTGGATTTTGAGGGAAAGGGCACTGGTCTGCGCCGGCAAATGGTTGCTGGCTTTAGCTTCAGGTGTTCAGTCATGGGCAACGGGTAGCGGCGACAGTTCTTGTTGGCCAAGCAGACTTTGGAAACTCGGAGCCAACTTTGGTAACAGGTGTTTCTAGTTGCTTGGGAAGAATGCCAAGAAGCCATCCTGGCAATGTGAGGATACCTCAAGGGTACCTTTGACTCAATTACATCAACTTACTCATCAGAACGTCTAAGAAGTGTGGAATTCAGTCAGGTGACGGTGAATGAAGCGATGCCTTGACATCCATCAAAGCGAATCGGAAGACTGATGTTGTCGTTCTCTCTCTCTCTCTCTTTCCTTCGCGTGCCTTTGAACAATGAGGAAACTTAGCTTCCTCTAATTCATGTTGCTTGCGTTGGATTCGCCGAAGTCTCTAGGCATGAAAATGACGACACTGGTCCATCTTACCATCCATCACATGACCAGGCCATGCGAAACATAACACGTGCATGGCGAGGAAGACCACCTGGGCATCGCCATATATATCGAGCCGAAAAAGAGGAGCGATCAGTTGCTCCCCTCACACCCCCCCCCCACCCAAAAAAAGTCGTTTCCCAACCAGAAACCTCCGAGACTGCACCAACTGGTGAGCTAAAATGTGTAACATCCAGACTCGAACAGCGAAAAGAAAGCGTGAAAACTAGGGCCTAGAGCATACTTCACGCGACCTTGATGTATTCCATTGTAGTCCCCTTTTCCTTGGCGATGGGAAGCAAAAGAACACAAACTGCTGCCTCCCCACCCCCACCTTGACCTTCAAAAGGAGCTCTTCCCTTCCGGATTTGCCGTCTGCTGTTGGATCTGAGACCTCGTCCGAGCCTCCAAAAGCCGGCCGACCACACGAAAACTGGAGCACTTTGTCTCTTGAGCCAAAAGCTCGGCCACGACAACCCTGCGCAAGTGCGCAAGAAAATGCGAGCCGGCTGTGTGGTGTCACGTGTCTCGCGCAAGATCGCCCGCACGCTCGCCAAAGCGTTGTCTTCGCTCCCCCGTGGAGTGGTATACCAAACACACACACACACACACACAGAGAGAGAGAGAGATGGAGCTTGCACACAGGAATCCGAGTAGGTTGCTTCCGTCAAACATGATCAATTGATCAATGGCGCATAGAGGGCAAGTCTTGAAGTGTGCATGAAATGACTTGCACATGTGATGAGGTCACCGGCTCCTTTGTGTCTTGAACCTGCAATTGGAAGATGCACTCCTCCTTTGTACCCTGTGAGGCGGGACAAAGGAGCGCCGCCTTTTAAACCGCGTCACAGGTTGGCCTTGAGACTCAGACCTCCAACTTTTTTTGGGCCCCTCAAAAAAAAAACCTTCAATAAGGACACAACAGGAACCTACATGCTCCAATCGGCCTAGGTGGCGACGTTGTTTTTTTTGCTAGGAGTGGCTTTTTGTTAGAAGTGGCTCGCTACAAGAAGTGGCTGGATGTGAGCACCGTGACTGTGACCAAGAGAGGAGGGCGGGTGGAGGGTAACATCCCTAGCATCGCTGGGCTCAGTCTGCCCCTGATCTGTTGCCGCTGCAAGACATGCATGAGCCCCATGCTGCGTTGCAGGGCTGGATTCAAGCCGCTTGAGTTCTTGCCGCTGGAATCGGGTAGGCTTTAGACGGCTTTAGAGCTTTGTCAGGGTTGGTGTTTGGTTCGTTTGCCGCTAGCTGGCGTGACCACCGCTTGCCATTAGTTGTTTTTGGGTCGAGATTTAATTTGGGATTTGTTTGTTTGATTTTGTTTTCTGTTGTGTTTTCCGTCTTGGCTAGTAAAATGCTGCATTTTTCTCACGAATGAAGGTATTTTACACCAGTTTGTTAACATCGTTTTCAACATCCCCCGCATGTCCAGCCAACATCCCCAGCATCACCAGCAAATCGAGGGCTTCCTACATCCTCAGCATCATCAGCAAGGTAGGTAGGTATTTATGTATGCATGGATTCAAATACGGTTGCAATTTAATCCCTCCAAAAGTCCAAAAAGTAGCGGGGAGGTTGGGGGGGGGGCGGAAGCCCCCCCATGATGATCTAAAAGTGACGATTCAATCGGGCCAAAAATCTAAAATGTCGCGGGGGTGTGGGGGGGGCCGGCAGCCCCCCCCGATGATCGAAAAAGTGATGATTCAATTTGAGGCAAAAAATCTAAAAAGTAGCGGGGGGGTTGGGGACGGCAGCCCCCTCATGGTGTTCGCAGAAGTGATGACTGAATAGGGGTGCAAGTAAATCTCTACAAGTAGCCTAAAAAGACTAGCGCGGGCGGGGGGGGGGGGCGGCACATGTTCAACCCCACCACCCCACCCCACCCCACCCCAAGAAGTGATGATTCAAAAAGCGGTGCAATTAAATCTCTGTCCAAAAAACCAACTGAAGCACAGGATGCGAAAACCAAGGCCAGAAAACCGCCAGAGGAATTGGTCATGCAGACAGAGGATGCAAAAAGCCAAAGCCGCAAAGGCCACGTAAACCGAAGAAAAAGCCACAAAGGCCAAACAGAGAGGAACTGTGAATCCAGAGGATGCGAAATGAAAAGCCACAAAAGCCACATAAACCCTCGTAAATGCCACAAAAGGCAAATTGCCGAAAAGCCACCCACCCACCCTGAAAAACCAAAGAAAACATGAAAAAAAACAAAAAACACCGTTGTTTTTTGAGCTTAGCTGCTTGTGGTTGAACTTGGGTAAACTTGGGGGTGGCTTCGGGCTGGCTTGCATCAGGCTTTGGGGCTTCTTCAGCTGTGCTTACTGTTGCTGAAGGGGCGGTCCAGCCAACCAACCAACCAACCAACCAACCAACCAACCAACCAACCAACCAACCAACCAACCAACCAACCAACCAGCCTTGGAGTCCTTGCTAAGCTGCGAGCCACTCCTAGCAAAAAAAAAAAACTGTCGCCTCCATCGCCCGATATTTCCCCCATAAAACATCACCCCGCAAAAACAACACTCACCTTGCGGCCCAAAAAAAAAACGAGGTTGAAAACCACCTGAAAAGGGCTCGACCTAGGGCTCGACCCCCCGGCCCGACGTCCGCTGACGCGGGGCCCACGCGTTTTTCCGGTGCCAGCAGCCTCAGCGCCGTGGCTTCCGCACGCTTCAGCAGCTCGCCCAAAGGGCCCGGCCGGGCCAAGGTGTCTGCCGCCGAAGCCAGCGCCACCACGCCTGGGGGAGTTGCTTTTTTTTTGGGGGGACACCCGGCTTGACCTGGTGACAAGGTTTCTTAGGCGCGGTGGGAAATGGAATCCGCTTCCGTAATACAACAAGGGCTTCCCAAAGACGAGCCCCCCTTTCTACAGGGGAAGACTCCCTTGTATCAAGTGCGGTTTATCCCATGTTCTTTGGAGTTTCCGCACACTTGCCGGATTTGTGATTTTTGTGATTCTTGTTGAGGGTTCTGGCAGGTGGCGTTCTTGGAAAAATTGAGGGGGTCCAGGGGTAAATGATTCGATGGAAACAGGGTAACCATCTATGCTCAAGCAAACTGGCCAAAAAGGACACCTATGGCTGGCTTGCAAGATATGGTGTCAACGGACACCCCCCTACCTCAAAGGAGGACGGACCTTTTCAGGGGTCGACATCGGCCTTCCCCCAATTCAATGGGGGCAGGGATTCCTGAGAGGGCAAAGGATTCTACACCTTGTACACATTCACGCCCAACACATGCAGCCTTTTTTCTCGCTCCTTCCGGCGAGTGCTGTAGGTTCGTCTGTGGCTTTGGCAAAATGGTGGGAACCTTTCTTTAGTTTGCAATGAGAGGACAGGACTTCGAAGGCCTGTTCAAGGGGATCCTGACCTTCAGAATTGATGACCTGATCAATCGTGCGCCATAGGGCTCCATTTTGCTGGGGAGAATACGCGTGTCGCTTAGGTGATTTACTAGCTCAACTTTAGTTCTCGATTGGTCCAGCCGTCAGATCCGAAGTTGGCAAGCGCACTGACCCATGCTGGACAAACTTCGGGAGTTTTTTTTGCTCGTTTCTTTCTACTCCAACGCAAAGCAAGGTGAACTCAAAAATGCAAAAGTCACCCAAATATGAGCTTGTCTGTCTTTGATGGTACCCCAAAAAATGGTGGGTTTTCCTTTGGTGTCCCTTGAAAAACACTGAAACAGGGGTACCCGCAAAAACGACACATGCCAGCGCACGCAAAGGTTTAAAGGCGTGCAGTGGAGATTCATACGCTCTTCGTTGAATGTTCTTCATTCCATCCGCTCCAGCTCTTCCCGCCCGACTCAAGATGCGGTCCCGGTTTAAAACCATGCAACTTGATGTTCCCTAAGGGTTGCAACAGAGCTCCCACAAATCGCGGAGGGGGGGGGGTGGCATTTTGTTTGAACCCTGATCCTGATGCGCGCAAGCCTGCGTCCACCGCCCTCAGCTCCATCTCAGCCAGCAATGCCAGCACTGCTTCCCAGCCTGAATGCTCCCAAGCAGGTGGCTCGACGCTACCCTTGAAGGGTCCCTGGAACACAGTCTTCTGGGAGCTTGCAGCCACACCCAAGGGATGTCCAGGACCCCCTGCGACTTGGTTCTACCTCCACACTTTGAGCAATCTCCAGCAATGCGAGGGTCGGATTCAAACCCGAAACCTTTTCCAATGGTTATTTTAACTATCTTTCCCCGTCAAAAGCCAACAAATACGTGCTTGTGTTGGGCTTGCGTTGTTTGCTTCTCACGTCCCAGGGCAAACTAGAGAGGGCCGCTGCAGGAGCTTGTCCTAGGGGCGCTCACGGTGGAATGCTCAAACCACTCTTGCTGAACATCCTCATTTAGAATGTTCTTGAAAAGTGACCAAGGTCCAGTTGCTCGGACCGATTTTGCCATAAGGCTCCCTGAATCCCGATTCCAGGTGCAATCAAAGCCTCGCCTCCCTTGGCTCAAGAGTCCTAAAACAGGACGCCCTTCAATGGCGCGTGTACCCTTATTTCCTTATTTCCTTGTTTGCCTTTGTCGCCAGCCAAAAGGAAGGTCCCTATCTTAGGAAACACCCATGCAGCTTGTAAATCATCGAGTCTGGCTGAGGTCTTCGCAGGTCGGCCGTTGAGACGGCGACCGCCATTCAATTGCAGAAGCGAGCTTGAGATGTCAACAAAACTTCCCCTCCCCTGATCAGTTAACCCAACACGTTGTCGCGGCCTCAAACACCATGAAGGAAAAAGGGGGCAAGAGGATGGCTAGGGAAAAACAGAACAGCAAACTGGGTGAACTGAAAATCCACGGCCTGAAGTAGGCACCTGCAGGGATCCTTCAATCCTTCAGGGAGCTCGCTGAACGTATCACTCAAACCTTCAGAGTCTCTCAAACTATAGGACTAAGGCGCCGAAGTGGGTTTCAACCAACCTGCGTCCTCTTGGCCTTTTTCAACACTATACAACATACCCACGGGTCTGCCAATTGCTTGAGACACTCCGGAGAAAAAAACAGAAATGTTGTAGATCGCCCTTCTCGGAGAAAGGCTCGTGGCAAGACTTCCCAAAGCGAGTCTGTGGAAAGACGTGTGCTACGGAATTGCAGCTGGCGGGTGGTAAACAGGACCAACCTGCCCTTGGGCTCTGAGCAATTGGTGCCATGCCTGGCCATGCCCTTGTTCCAACCCCCTGTGGCCCACATCGCACAAACTTGTCTTTGAGAAGGCTCGCTTGGCTGCGGAGTGTTTACTGGTTGATGTTCTGCTGCTTCGCAGTGCTGTTGGGAGAAGGTCCGGAGAGGGAAGTTATCTTATCACCTTGGCATTTTCTGTCGTAAGCCGTGTTTTTGGATGTGCCATTGTTGCTAGCTTAAAGTCAAGCGAGTGCCCAAAACCCTCTGACTCTGGGTTCTACACAATTGCTTTAAAGGCTAAAATAGGACATACTACAATGCTCAGCAGATGAGACAGTGGAACCGAATTGCCCATGGGGAATTTGGGCGGACAGCCGGTTGCACCCATCAGTGGACATCAAGGGGGTTCTGTCCACCAGCCTCAAGACTTGTGTTCCCCATGAACACTGCAAACAGGCCATGGCCCAGATTAATAAACCCCTGTTTATTGGGTGTCCCTGGCTTTAGTGGGGATTCATCAGGAACACCCTCATATTAATAAACAGGGTTTATTAATCCCCCTGTTTATTAATCCGGTCAATTCTTACAGTAACCATACTTCCCCTTTAAACACCAGCCCAACAGTTGAAGCTCATTTTTGTAGGCGACCCCTCCTTCAAGGCGCAAAAAGCCCCCCACACGACAACCGGGGGAACCACGAAAGAAAGAAGAAAAAAAAAAACGCTCCACCACGAAATGGGAAAAGTGACCCGTGGTCAAGCCTACGGGCCCTAAAGGCAATACTCCATTTGCTGAAGTCCGCAAAAATTAAAACATATATTCCCAAGAGTGAAATCGATTCCCTTTAAAACCAACCGGGGAACATGACAAATACTCTTAAGCAAATGGAATATTGATCAACCCCCCCAACCCCCCCCCCCCCCTTTTTCCCGTGACTATTCTTGGCGAGGGAGGGTTTCCTGTTTTGTTCACCAAAACCCCCACATTACTTTTTTTAGCGAGGGAAACCTTCCCCGAGTCAGTTCACCAACGGGGCTTCGATTCGACTCGAGCCACGGTCAGTGCTGGCAATGGCCGAGGTGTAGGTCACCGTGTTGGGGCTCACCCGGTCAGCACACATCTCCTGTGAGGTTGACCCTTTTGGGGGAGGAAAACCAAAAGGGAACCACCAAAAAGGCTTTTGGTAGGGTTGCTTGAGGTTTGCCCATCCATTTGGAGAAGAGCTTCAAGCAAGACCTGGGGTCAAAGGAGTCTACCACCAAAATCATACAAGACAGTACAAGGGCGAGGCTTCCGATTTGTAGTTGGGAAAAAAAAGGGAAACACGAGAAACCCTACAATGTGGCTGAGTCACAATCGAAACCCGACAGTGAGCAGTCTAGCAATAGCTCTGCTTGACATGTGCCTTACCTTCAATTATCCAGATGTCGGTTTGGGCGACAACTTGGGGGAACACCTGCACGAAACAGGGGAAACCGTCGAACCCTTTGCAACCGCAACACCGGAAACCCGGCCTTGTCTCCCCCCGAATGTCAAGTGTGTCTCTGTCTTTGACCCCACAATGGGCGTCAATATGCCTGAAATCATGTGGATATGCCGTCAAGAAATTGGGAAGCACTCGACTAGACGACTGTGGTCTCGCTTCTGCTCCCGTCCGCAACCCAAAGCCTGCGATGCTTATGGCCGATGTCCTTTTTGGAGTTCCCGACTGCATTTAGAGAATCAAAACGAGGATCCCAAGACCGCCCCCGACTCGTTGACTTCCTAAAAGAAGTCGCCCAACATGTTGGACCTGTGAACTCCTGTACGCCAAAGGGGGAAGGGCCCAAATAGGCCGTTTTGCCCACCCAGCCCCCCTTTCTGCCCCCCGAAAATGGAAAACTGAAAAGTCTCTCAGATGGGTCAGATGCCTTCAATGGGCAACAAGGTTTGCTCTCATGTGGAAGTACCATACAGCTCCAGCAGATACGATCTCACAGCCACTCGCAAGTTTCGGCAACTTTTCCCTAGTCATATGCATCGATATTGCCTCTATTCCAACTCCAATCTTACCAACAAAATAAAATTATCATATTTTTGCCACCCAAGAGGCGCGAAGAATGAACACCAACGGCCAAGCACAGTGCCGAATTGACGCCGCAGAACCCCACAGAGGCCACGTGGAACCTTGTCTTGGGGGTACGCTTCATTCCCAAAAATTGTCGCGAAGCAACCATATGGGTATGGCTCAAAATTAAAGAGCTAGGGTTACGCAGGTGTTGGTCTTTGGCTCATTTTGCCAAGGTGCCATTTTGGTACATGTTTTTGAGCCGCAGCTATATCCAGAAAAGCCTGGCGACAAACGGCTACTGCAGAGTTCCCCCGGTTCCCTACTCCAAGTATCTAAGGCCATCCGCTGTTCCAGATTTCAGCTTCAGGCCACGCCGGAACAAAGAGAGAGAGAGCCGCGGGCCGCAAACTTGACCTCTTCCAACGTGCACTTCTTAAGAAGCTATCTTGCAACCATGGCAGGAAAACATTGGGCATTCTTTAGGGCTGCTGCAGAAAAGCCGGATCACCCAAAATTGGGTAAACGCCGCCAAAACAACGCAGAAGCCAAACAGCTCCCCAAGCAAAGCCTTGAAGCGCTTTACCCCACTCAAGCACCACGCCTTGTTGGGGCACTTCCCTTCCGCTCTTCCATGGGGAGTTTGGGGGGCTCAGGACGTCGCATCAAGTCCTCCAGCAGCTGCAACACCCAACGCCACTGCCGCGCCGCACCGCACGCGGAAATCGCCGCGCTCAACGGCACCAAGGACACGCCTCGATCGAATCTGCGGATTCCATCAAAGCGAGGCCCAAAGCCGCCCCCGTGAGCTCACTTGAGATGACCCCTTTCGATGTGTAAACAAAGGAGGAAATAAACTGGCCGAAAGTGGTCGCTTGGAGGAAAACTACCTCAGTTGCTGACCGCGGTTTCAAGAAGGCGGAATTTTCGACTCCAGGCAGATCGTGGGTTCGAAGCCAGGAGTCGTATCAGCTTGCCAAGGGTGCAGATTCTGACGATGTAAGTAAACCAAATTGACACAAATTGCATTTCACCCAACCGAATATGAGGTCCATTGAAAGCGAGCCTGCTGGTTTTGAGTTTTGAGATCTGCCGTGTCCCGGCGCCATGATAACGTGAGCGTCACGGGCGCTGGATGGTGTTATGATTACGCAGGCAACATCATGGTAACGCGAAGAGCACCATTGGTAGCGCGGGTAGCACTATAAAAATGCGGGCAGCATTGATGAAGCAATCAGGGTCATGACAATGTGGACTGCGCCATGACTACGCAGGCACCGTCATGGCAACGTGAGCAGCATGAGGAGGGTGGTGAACACGAACATGATGATGATGATGATGATGATGATGATGATGATGATGATGATGATGATGATGATGATGATGATGATGATGATGATGATGATGATGATGATGATGATGATGATGATGACGGCGACGACGCCGACGATGATGATGATGATGATGCGGGCAGCGTCGTGATGACGCAGAGAGGATCATGCCAAGATTTGCGGCATGACGAAGCAGTAACATGTTTATACAGTGCAGTATGACGATGCGGCCACGCAGCATCCGAGCCGGCTGAGGCTTTTGCTGAAAGCCTTCTTGAGCTTCCTTTCTGGGAATTAAATATGTGTGGCTATTTAGCGCCCAAGCATCTCCCCCCCATATTCCTCCCCCCCCAACAAACCACCCCCCCCGCCCCCAACAAACCACCACCAGCCACCAAACGACCTCCCTCGGCCTCCTTTCACGTCGCTGGCGTCTCTCGCTTCGCTCGCTTGGCTCTCCCTGAGCAGGACCAGCGCGCGCTGCCACAGCCTGCCCTGCCCACAGGCGCCTGCAGCGGATGTGGTTTGACCAGCCCCAGTGAAAGGGAAAACAAGCAAAATCCACAGACGGGACACAAGAAATACTCCTTACTGGCCACGTAATTATACACACATGATTTTCCCTGGAACCACTGTTGCATCCTCAGCAGCAGCAACATCGCCAGCATCACCAGCATCACTGGCATTATCTGGATGACATTCTGGACAACAGGATCAAAGGCGCTCAAATGATATTGCTTAGATATTAATCCATTAAGATGTCTGGGTGTTAAGCCATTAAGATGTTCACTCTTCTTTTAAGATTTTCTCTTCGGAAGTTGTCCATTGGAGTTGTTCCCTTTGGAATTGTGCCATACAAGTTTTCCGTTGACAATGCTCCCATTAGATTTTTCTCTTTGGAGTTGTATGACTTCTCCCATGCGAGTTCTCCATTTGGAGAGCCTCAAAATCTTAATGTACTAAAATCTGAAAAAAGTAATAATGGAGAATTCCAAAGAGAAAATCTTCAAGGGAACTTTCTTCCAAAGGGACAGTTCCAGTAGGATTCCATTGGGAAAAATCCAGGAGACGGCCAATGGGAGAATTCCAATGGGAAAATTCCAAAGGGGCACATAGAAAGCAGGCCTGCGGCCTGAGCCGGCGGTAAAAAGTATTGTTTACACAGCAGTGTTTAAAAAAAAAAAAACAAGGGGTTGGCCAGACCAGCTGCAGGAAAACAAACAAGATACTGCGTACTCAGCAGTGCTTGAACAAGGGGTCAACCAGCTTTATTAAAGGGCATCCAGCCACATGAGACCAAGCGCTTTTGCTGGAGAGGCAGTGAAGCCTTCCACAACCTGTGGCGGATCAAACCAACCAAAAAAGCAGCATCACTGGTCTATTTCGTGAATCCGGAATCCACGTGGATCAAACTGTGCACCGAATGAGCCCGGCAAAAACATGCAAATGTCAGCCCCTGCCACTTGGGTGGCTAAAAAAATTGAAGCTAGCCACAGAGGATTCACGGAACACTCCTTGATTCGCCAATTTTGTCCTCAAACACCCGCGGCTTAAATTGCCCCAACGCCGTCTTGAAACAATCCGCCACTTGGCCACGTGTCAGCCAGGCGAAGTCCGTTGAGCCACCAGAGCCATCAAACCCGGCCCTGCTCCAACGCGACGCGGTCAACGGGCAAGCTGGCTGGAAGGGAAAACCACTGGATCCGGGAAGAACTTGCAGCGTGATCATTTGAGCTTCGGAACCCAGGCCAAAAAGCTCAGCACAACCTCTCCTAGTCATGCGCTGCAGTGTGCTCGCCCACTAAGAAACACGCAAAGAGGAAAAGGGGGGCTCGCTCTCCTAGCCGCAAAGAATGTGACATGCTTGCGAGAATGAGATCATACTTTTGCAGCTGGTTTCGGTGAGCGAATCCCGATGCGATCCCTCAAGAAGCTGCTTCTGAAATACCGTGGATGGACGAAATTCTGCACCACCCAAGAAACCCTGGAGGACTTCGTCCATTCACGGTATGATGGGGATTTGATTCTTGATTGACTCGCATGGTCGAGGACGCTCCCTGAAAATGGACATGATCCAATAGACTTCCAACCAGTTTGAACCGGCCATGGAGGTCCACCAGCTGCGTGGAACAGAATGGACCCCCTTTTGGCCGCCAGTCTTCTCGTTGGAATCCGCTAAAAATGCAAACCCCTAGGAGGAATGGCATTTTTTTGCAAAGGAGATGCACCCTTGAGCCATGTCTAAAGATGTACAAGCCTTGCTTGCTGTTGACCCCTCTGCAACTAGTCTTCAACTTTCTGTGAATTCTAGAAAATCCCACCTGTTCAACCAAAAAGTCAGAGTCCAAAAAGATCCGTCAACCCAATAGCCATAAAGAAAATACTACCTGGAGTCTCCATGACCCTGAACAAATGGGGCCATTACCCAAAATAAAGGGGTCATGACCCCATTCTTGGGTCACAGAGACTCCAGGTATGCTCTAACCAACCCTGTCCAACCAAAAAAAGAAGAAGTCACCGTCCAAACAAATCCTCCCACCAAATAGCCACCAAGGAAAAATCAGAATCTCACTCAAGCATGGCATTCCTTGATTCGCCAATTGAACGCCATCTCAGAATGTGAGAATCCTCCCACCAAAGCTTCAAGCAAACCGTTGGTTGCACCTCTGAAGGGAAACGAAAAGTGCGCCCTCGCCCTCGCCCCATTGGCCGGGCAGCTGATGCCCGCGCTGAAGCTGAAGGCGTCAGGCGCCCAACCGCTCCTGGAAATTGCTCTGGGCGCGGGGGATCGCGGGCAGCGTAGCAACCCGGACTTTGCCCACGGGGAATCATAGATGTTTTGCCAACTGGAAGAAATCATATAAGGAATTATCTGTCTTTGTATGTTAATGATGTCTTCCAGTTCTTCAGGTTGGTAGGTGTCATAATATAACTCGGCGCTATGACGGAGGTCGTGTTGGTTGGAGTCCTTCCCTTACTGGGAAACTCAGACAGCTGGCTGAAAGAAGATGACGTTCAATTCTCACATTTGGAATTCCACGCTCGCCGAACCCTGATCTCATGCGGGAAAAAGTGGGCTTCGGGTCTCAGGTGATATCCCCAACAGCACCCGGCGCTCTTTTTCGGACCCTGGCTGAAAGTAGATGACGTTCAATTCTCTCAGTTTGGAGTTGATCATAAGCAAATGATGTTCAAATGAGTTGGGTGAAAGCAGATGACGTTCAATTCTCTCAGTTTGGAGTTGATCATAAGCAAATGATGTTCAAATGAGTTGGGTGAAAGCAGATGACGTTCAATTCTCTCAGTTTGGAGTTGAACATAAGCAAATGATGTTCAAATGAGTTGGGTGAAAGCAGATGACGTTCAATTCTCTCAGTTTGGAGTTGATCATAAGCAAATGATGTTCAAATGAGTTGGGTGAAAGCAGATGACGTTCAATTCTCTCAGTTTGGAGTTGATCATAAGCAAATGATGTTCAAATGAGTTGGGTGAAAGCAGATGACGTTCAATTCTCTCAGTTTGGAGTTGATCATAAGCAAATGATGTTCAAATGAGTTGGGTGAAAGCAGATGACGTTCAATTCTCTCAGTTTGGAGTTGATCATAAGCAAATGACGTTCAATTCTCTCAGTTTGGAGTTGATCATAAGCAAATGATGTTCAAATGAGTTGGGTGAAAGCAGATGACGTTCAATTCTCTCAGTTTGGAGTTGATCATAAGCAAATGATGTTCAAATGAGTTGGGTGAAAGCAGATGACGTTCAATTATCTTATGTGGGGAGGCTCTGAGGTCAGGTTCCGGATTAGGCGATGACACAATCATCTCATTTGGGGAGGCTCTGAGCAGGGTTCTGCGAGGGCTATGGGGCGGCTCTGAGGTAAGGTTTCACAGCGTTCGGCGAGGGTCGCAAAAGAGCGCCTGTGGGGATATCACCTGAGCTTATGGCATCCACTTTCCTGACGAAATAAAGAGTCTGATTGAGGGGTCTCCCATGTTTGGCGATCTCCATAGGCTTTTCAGCCGTGCAAAGGGAACCGGATTTTGGAGCATCGTGTGACTGAGGCCCGAACGAAAGGGGCAAAATCTAAAGCACTAGTAAAAAACTGGAAGCTGCGTCCAACCAATCCAGCCGAAACTTACAAGCTAAAGACTGTCCCCTCCACCGAAAGTATGGAAGTATACATATATATATACACATGTCAGAGTTGAGAAAAGGAACCAGGGAAGCAACATAAACAGCATCTATTCTGGGTGGTTCCCCATTTAGAGACAAACCAGTATGGTTGGCCAACACATCGTGAACATGGAGATGCTGGCGCCTCGGGTAAGTGATGTGCACGTCACCAAGATATCCGATGGCGAGGCTGCAAATGGATCCCACTTTTAAACGACTGCCTTGGAAACAGCATGCTTTGTAATTATGTGTGTTTGTACTGTTCCTCTATGTAAGTGAATTGTTTTTCATCTCTGTGTTGTTGTAATCTGAACGGCAACTCTGAAACAACTTTGCCCAAAACAGGTAGAAGTTCAGAAGCACTTGGAAGGCTTTAGATGCATACGTTCTGCAATTATTCCCCCCCCCCCAGTTCAACCGGCGTGCGGCTTCAGATTTTTCCTCGAAAGCCAAACAAGAAGGACATCAAAGGCCCGAAACCCGCAATGTCAAATGAGATCCCAGACAAGAACATCCCAAAATCATCTCAAAGACCCTTCTCAAAGGGTTGGGTTGCAGGAAAAGTCAAACAGGAAAAACCAGCTTATTTAGGGGTTGCTTTGCGGCCATGTCCTGTAGATGTTCCTGTAACGAAACCCCTTTGGCTGTCAGATGGGCTCTCTTTATCCCAAATAAGTGGTATTATGACATCTGCTTTCGTCCTGGTGAGCTTTTCAGATTCTGATGCAGGAGTCTCTCATATCCGAAAACCCTCAACGCTGTCTCTGGCCGTCCGAAATAAGCACCCACAATGGGTGCAAACTGGTAAACAGAAACACGGCTCCTGGTGGCTTGTTGAATCTCCCTCTGGCTGCGGCTCAAAAACATGTACCAAAATACGGCACCTTGGCAAAATGAGCCAAAGACCAAAACCTGCGCTTTGCCGCTCTTTCATTTTGAGCCATACCCCATTTTAGGACCTATTTTAGTCGTTGGATTGGGATGTTCACTGGGGGTACGATTCGGATTTACCCATCTGGCCATGGGTCAAAAGCCGAATCGTACCCCCAGTGAACATCCGATTCAATCCAACCACTAAATCGGTTCTGAAATGGGTGGTGAATTCACCTACCCCCAAAATGGGATCCCGTTGCACGGTTTTGACTTTGACCCACGGCCATATGAGCGCATCCCCCCTCCCCACCCATATGAGAATCCCCGCCCCCTCCATATCAGAATCCCCCTCCCCCCCTCCGCCCCTTGACCAGCACAGCCGTCGTCTCTTCTCCTCTGGTCCAGCAGAAGAAGCGCCCGCTGCCACTGGGCGCTGGCCTCGCAGGCGCTCATCGCGGCGTTCCACAGGATCTCGCTGCTGCGGACCCGGCGCTCCTCGTGGGGGGCGGGGGCTGCGCTCCGCTCGGAGTTGCTGGCCCCAAAAAACGGCGGGGATGCGAGGCGATGTCAACCAAAGGTGGTACTAACGTGAGCCATATTCCCCCAAGAAACATGAAAATGCGTGTCAGAGTCGCAAAAAGGATGGTAAACAAGTGGTCGAATTACCCAGAGTCATGTATTCCCCCAAGAAACATGAAAATGCGAGTCAGAGTCGCAAAAAGGATGGTAAACAAGTGGTCGAATTACCCAGAGTCATGTATTCCCCAAGAAACATGAAAATGCGAGTCAGAGTCGCAAAAGGATGGTAAACAAGTGGTCGAATTACCCAGAGTCATGTATTCCCCCAAGAAACATGAAAATGCGAGTCAGAGTCGCAAAACAGGATGGTAAACAAGTGGTCGAATTACCCAGAGTCATGTATTCCCCCAAGAAACATGAAAATGCGAGTCAGAGTCGCAAAACAGGATGGTAAACAAGTGGTCGAATTACCCAGAGTCATGTATTCCCCCAAGAAACATGAAAATGCGAGTCAGAGTCGCAAAACAGGATGGTAAACAAGTGGTCGAATTACCCAGAGTCATGTATTCCCCCAAGAAACATGAAAATGCGAGTCAGAGTCGCAAAACAGGATGGTAAACAAGTGGTCGAATTACCCAGAGTCATGTATTCCCCCAAGAAACATGAAAATGCGAGTCAGAGTCGCAAAACAGGATGGTAAACAAGTGGTCGAATTACCCAGAGTCATGTATTCCCCCAAGAAACATGAAAATGCGAGTCAGAGTCGCAAAACAGGATGGTAAACAAGTGGTCGAATTACCCAGAGTCATGTATTCCCCCAAGAAACATGAAAATGCGAGTCAGAGTCGCAAAAAGGATGGTAAACAAGTGGTCGAATTACCCAGAGTCATGTATTCCCCAAGAAACATGAAAATGAGTAGAGAAAAACAGATGGTAAACAAGAATTACCCAGTCATGTTTCCCCCAAGAAACATGAAATGCGAGTCAGAGTCGCAAACAAGTGGCGAATTACCCAGAGTCTTTATTCCCCCAAGAAACATGAAAATGCGAGTCAGAGTCGCAAAAGGATGGTAAACAAGTGGTCGAATTTACCCCAGAGTCAGTATTCCCCAAGAAACAGAAAATGCGAGTCAGAGTCGACAAAACCAGGATGGTAAAACAAGTGGTCCGGAATTACCCAGAGTCATGTATTCCCCCAAGAAACATGAAAATGCGAGTCAGAGTCGCAAAACAGGATGGTAAACAAGTGGTCGAATTACCCAGAGTCATGTATTCCCCCAAGAAACATGAAAATGCGAGTCAGAGTCGCAAAACAGGATGGTAAACAAGTGGTCGAATTACCCAGAGTCATGTATTCCCCCAAGAAACATGAAAATGCGAGTCAGAGTCGCAAAACAGGATGGTAAACAAGTGGTCGAATTACCCAGAGTCATGTATTCCCCCAAGAAACATGAAAATGCGAGTCAGAGTCGCAAAACAGGATGGTAAACAAGTGGTCGAATTACCCAGAGTCATGTATTCCCCCAAGAAACATGAAAATGCGAGTCAGAGTCGCAAAACAGGATGGTAAACAAGTGGTCGAATTACCCAGAGTCATGTATTCCCCCAAGAAACATGAAAATGCGAGTCAGAGTCACAAAACAGGATGGTAAACAAGTGGTCGAATTACCCAGAGTCATGTATTCCCCCAAGAAACATGAAAATGCGAGTCAGAGTCGCAAAAAGGATGGTAAACAAGTGGTCGAATTACCCAGAGTCATGTATTCCCAAGAAACATGAAAATGCGAGTCAGAGTCACAAAACAGGATGGTAAACAAGTGGTCGAATTACCCAGAGTCATGTATTCCCCCAAGAAACATGAAAATGCGAGTCAGAGTCACAAAAAAGGATGGTAAACAAGTGGTCGAATTACCCAGAGTCATGTATTCCCCAAGAAGCATGAAAATGCGAGTCAGAGTCACAAAAAAGGATGGTAAACAAGTGGTCGAATTACCCAGAGCCATATTCTCCCAAGAAACATGAAAATGCGAGTCAGAGTCACGAAAATGGATGGTAAACAAGTGGTCGAATTACGCAGAGTCATGTATTCCCCAATAAAAATGAAGGCGTGAGGCAGAATAAGGAAAACTGGCTAAAGTGGTCTAATTATCCAGAACCGTGTAAAGAGTTTAAAAGGCGGCCGCGCCTATTTATACTTGGGATTGTCCCTTGCAAGCCTTGGTCTATCTGGGTTTTGATTGCGGCTCTGGGTGTGTCTCCGAAACCTGCAAGATCGGGGCTGTCCGTGGCTTCCCTTTCGAGCCAAAAAAAAAACGAGGGCAGCCTCCAAAAACTCAACTCAAAGGCCGAGGCTTGGCCTGCAAAATGCTTGCCACAATCCAAACCTGATGTCCTACCCGAAACCCATAAAAAAGAATCCAAAGGATGGAAACTCGTCCCGCATTGCACCTATTCCCAAGACTGGACTATGAGATGCCTCTACTCTGGGCCATTTCCAAATGGAAAATCCCAACGTGTGGTGACCCCCAATCAACTTGGCGGATTCAAAGAATCCGCCCCCCCAAAGTGATCAAAAGGATTCCCTCCAGGGCTGCTCCCCACCCCTTTCAACCATCTGGGGTGAATTCTTCCGGGCCCAGACCACAGAAATGGGTTCAGATGCCTGGGGGGGGGGGGGCTAGTTGGGACACCCTTTTTTTGTCGTGGCGAAAGAAAACCACAAGCAAAGACCCACCATGTTTATCATTATTATTGGTACTATGATTACTCTTATTATTATTGTTAATATTATGATTTCTATTATTATCATTATGACTATTATTATCATTCTCATTGTTATTATGACGAGGTCCCTTTTCTTTTTCTTCTTTTTTTAGGGCCACGCCCAGCTTTTGCGAGGTTGGGATCTCTTTGCGACCCCTCCCCCCTTCTTTTGGGAAATCCCACGCCCAGTTCCACCCCAGCCTCGACCTGCCGCAGCAAGGCCAGAGCCTGGTCCCAGCGCCCGGCGCGCCCACAGGCAGACACTGCGGCACCTAAGGCGAAGAACGGCCAGCGACAGATTGAGGTGTCTCTGATATATATATATATATATATACACACATATGCATATACACATATACATATTCATATGCACATACATGTGTATATATATATATATATACACACCTGTGCACACATGAATATGCATACATATGCCTACACTATACACATGAATAATTTACAAGCCTGCATACAGATGCATATAGACTTATTCCCGTATGCGTATGCATATACACATTTACGCAAACCGTACACATACATATATGTGCATATATATATTATGCATATACATAAACATGTGCAAAAATATGTGCATGCAACTATACATATAATAACTTATACATTCATGCGAACATACATATCTACATTTGTTGATCCAAATAGTCATGTTCACGTACATATACATTTATACATATACATATACATACATATATATCTATTCATACACATACACATACACATATACATATATACATATACATATACATATATACATATCCATATATACATATACCTATAGTATATACATATACATATATACATATACATATATGCATGTACATATATACATGTACATATGCACATATACATACACATGTAAATGTACGTATACATATGCATATGCATATGCATATGCATATGCATATACATATGCAAACACATATACTTATATACAAATACACAAACCTATAAACATACCTGCACATATACATAAACCTACATATTACTCTATATCTATATACACACATGCAGGAACGGTACTGGAAGAAAGCCGCCCTCCCGCATCCCTTCTCATTTGCTCTTCTGAGCTATGGTTCCCCATTCATTCTAGCATCTGTGGGAGGGTAGAAAGATCAATTTCTTCGAGTCGCATGGCAAATGGTCTAGAAGATCAATTCCCCAGCCGCGGCAACGTGGGGAGGGTTCCCCCCAAACTTGGCACCATCTGCCAGGTGTCCATACGCCACGGCATCTGCGGGCAGGTCCTTCAAAATTCGACGAGGACTCGCACATGAGCGCAAGTTTTGGGCCCCTGGTTGTGGGTGAGTTGGTTTAACCCCCCCCCAGCAGAGCTCGCGAAACATTTACCTTGATGAGTATGAAGCCCAAAATCCAAAGTGGCTCTTGCAATTGGACGGAAATCAGTATGTCAGCGTTTCTCTTGCTAAGATTGGCATGGAACCCAGGAAAGCGTCACTGCATCTATTTGCAGCGGAGTAGGCAGGGGGTGGTTCCCATGATTGCAGAAGGTCCCTTCATTCTCCAAAAACGGCGCAGGGTTGGGCAAAACGAGGTGTTCGCGAGCCATTGTGAGAATCGCCCCGAAAAGCCAGCCCAAACGGATGCAAAGGAAAACCCCCCCCCCCCCGCCCCAAAGGCAAGGCAACCGCTTCCCGGCCGAGTCCTTTAGCAGCTGCAGTGCTCGCTGCCACTGGGCCGCACGCGCCAGCACGGCCAGGCAGCTGCCGCCGGTGACAGGGTTCCGGCCCTGAAGCGGTAGGGGACCCTTGGAGGTTCAGTACAGTGTCCGGGATACGTCCGAAAACTGGGATCCGGATACATGATACACCTGAACATTGCAACTTGTCGATGGTGGCGTCCCTTTGCTTTGGTGGAAAAAGCGACATGGTTCAAATGGTTACATGGAGATCTTTTGAGGAGCCCTGAAAAAACCGCATGTTAGCAGAAAACATGGAACTCCCTCGAAGTCATCTGGTCATGGGGATTGTGAAAAAAGGCCCAAATGGATCCTTGACCCTTTTTGAATGGCAAGCCACCAAACAATCAGGGAGTGTGCTCAAGTCGGAAACTGCAATTCGGGCTTGTCTCTGGGGAAGAAACGCCAGTGGTTTCCCTTTCAAAAGCCCCCAAATGGGGTGCTGTTGAAGAAGAAGACAAAGTGGGCCACAAATACCCCCCAGAGACCAGAGCCAGTTTTCAGTTTTCATTTGTCTTCCTTTTACAACAACCTCAGAGCTGACCTTGACAAATTCCCTTAAGGAGTCGAGAACCGGCCTTGTGGAGGAGGTCACATTGCCAAATGAGGCCCGCAGCTTTGGTGTCAAACATTTTCTGCTGCCCAGCAACCGAATGGAGCAAGGATACCACAAACTGACGGTGGCAAGCTAGCGGGACACGAGCATCTGTTCAGGAGCCTCTCGATTTGGGCTCAACCAACCAACCAAACCAACCCAACTCAAACCAACCCAAACGCTGCCACGCGCGACTACTTACCCACAACCCTCCCCCACCTCTTTCCGCTCGCCCTTCCCTCGCCGCCATTCCCACCCCCCCCACTCGCGGCTGCATCGCGCCGCATCGCGCCGAGGGGCGCCGGCGAGGATCTCCAGCGCCAGCTCCCAGCGCGCCGAGGCCTCGGCAGCGTGGATGGCGCAGGTCTCCGCCACGCCGTCCGCCGCGGAGCGGCCCCGCAGCTCCTGAGACGAGCCGCGAGCCGCGAGAAGACCCGAGCCCAGGTCTGAGCGCTGGAAAAACCGAGCAGTTCCCCCCTTCCCCCTCCTCCCCCCCTCCCCCCCTCCCCCCCTTTTTTCTCATGTGGACACCTTGGGATGCATTTCGACAAGATAGTAGTCCCCTGGTTTACGCGGAATCACCATGGTGATGCGGTTGGTGTGCTGGCAATTCTGAGGTTGCATCAACCGCAGCACAAAGCCGGGGGGGCGTGTAGGTTTTCAGGGGTATACTTCATCTCTTTGTCCTAGCCGAAGGTGACCTTGAATTTCATTGCTGGGGATGGTCTCGGTCCTGGAGGGTTACAATGAAAGTCAATGCAGTAGTATTAGCATCTTAAAGTTCTTCGGACTCGCAAAATAGCAACTCCAGGTGACTATGGCGCAGCCCCCCCTATGATGGACGCGTTCCACGGGTCTATTTTGCAACCTTCTTCTATTCAGGGTAGTGGCTTTTATGGTTGGCTGCAAAAGTCCCCTCCCCCCAAGAAAATAACAAGACATAAGTAGATAACTAAATAACTAAATAAATAAATAAACAATTATATATATATATAATGTATACATGTGTGCACATGTGTATATATATACACATCTGTACAGCCCCATACCCTCCGCCCCCTCCCCCCCCTCTCCCCTCGCCAGTTTCCTGCAGAAGGCCCAGCGCCTGATCCCAGCGCCCAACCACCGCCCAGGCACCCATGGCACTGCACAGCAGCGCCGCGTCCTGAGCGAAACGGTGCGAAGGCTTAAAACACGGGTGAACCGCCTCCTTTGCACTTGTACTACATGTGTATATATGTATATATAGTGTACTTATTGATTTATTTGTTTATTTGTTTGTTGGTTTACTTGTTTATTTATTAATTTAATCATTTGTTGATTTACATTTACAAGACCCACACATTCTTCGTGCATGCAGATTGACGCGGACTTCCGCGGCGTAAGTCCGCGCAGTCACTGAGGTGGTATGAGGTTCTTAGTGTCTCATGCGTTTTTCGAATACGGTCTTACCTCATTTGGGTCTATAAGGGCGGTTCAAAGATTGAAATGGCGGGATCACAGCAAATTCAGGTTGTTACTTGGGAAGGGAGGGTTCGTTTTGTGCCCCAGACATCACCCCAAAGGAAACCCATGGATTGCCCCAATATGCTGATGTTTCAACCGGAAAAGGGAAATATAAATATAACGGCCCCTGTCAGGAGAGGAGTCCGATGCCAACCTCCTTGTTTTTATGGTTGTTTGAACACCACTTGCAAGAAATCCTGGTTAGTACCCCAACCCACCCACTTTGATGGAACCGCACCAGAAGGTCCCGAACATGAGCTCCTAACAACCTCCCGTTAGCTTCCATGTTAATGGGTGGGAGGAAAAACCTTGCTGCACGTGTTTAGAGGAAGCGTAATTGGGGCCTGAAGATTCCCAACCGAATTCTCGGACAGTCCTTTTTTTCGGCCGTCCGCGCTCCGACTGGGACAAAGGGGGGCTTCGTGCCGTCCGTTTGAAACTTTAGGAGCTGAACTTTTGCTCGGAGCTTGTGCTTCCTGCGGACAAAAAAAAACATCTGGTTTCACCGCATGGGAAAATGGAGCTTCTGGCCTTGGAGGTGAGTTCATTCCGCGTGGCCCATGTGGGCTCCGTCGAAGGCATCGCCCGCTCGCACGGTACCGCCGGTGTGGGTCGAAATTCCAAAAAATCAAAAAATAGTGATTGTTCCCGAAGGTGTCGCTTGAAAAGACACCCAGCACAGGGATACCCGGTACGCTAACAGAACACCCACCAAAAAAAAAAAAGACGCGGCCGCAGCCGTGGTTTCCATGGCTGACCGAACAAAGAGGACTCCAGGGCGCCTGAGCTTGCACCTCGCAGGAGCTCCACAGCACCAAGGCCAGCCTGGCAGACCAGGGCTGGGCTGAATATGGCTGAGTAAGGGAACAAAAAGGAACCTGGGCCCCAAGAATTCTGGAAAAATGAGAATATGTCTTGGTCTTCTCCCAGGAAAAACTCACAAACTGTAATACTGGTCCTGTCAAGCAGGGGGGGGCTCCCTTCTAAGCAGCCTATTTGCTTGTTGTGTGTGTTGTGTTTGTGAATGTGTGTGTGTGTGTGTTGTTTTCTAGGTGGTCCCCTATGTTGGGACCCGCCGTCAAGTTTTTTTTTTGTGCTGAATGCGCCGGTGGGGGCGGGGAGAACAAACAACAGATCCATCCCTGTGAAGCGGATATTCGGCAAAGATACACGCGTCTGGGACCGCAGAGTCGCCACATTTTCGCATTCAACACGTTGGTGTCCCGCTCAAACAGGGTGCCTGCCACTTCACATGAAACCTGACAGGGGTGTTCTGGAGTTTCTGGAAGACCATTTTCCCTTTAAAGGGACCCTCGAACCTCAGGTTCCATGTGAAAAAAGAGGGAGGGGAACACACCCCTGGCGAGGAGCTTTGAATGGCCAGTGCGTACCAGGCAGCTGCCACTGCTCCGAAGCGACCAGGCTTTGCATGGCGGAGCTGTAGATGATGCTGTTGGGAAGTAAGGCCTCCCATCAAAAACCAGCAACATGAGATGTATGTGTCTATAAGCATATATGTATATGTGTATACGTGTATATGTGTATATGTGTATGTGTGTATGTGTATGTGTATGTGTATATGTAAATGTCATTTATATATGTATATATGTAAAATATAGATGTATATATATATATGTATACATATATATATATGTGCATGTGTATAATTATGTGTGTAAATATATATGTATATATATGCACATATATGTGAATGTATTTACATATGCAGATATATATATATATATATATGAATATATATATATGTATGGCTATATGTATATATGTATATATATATATATATATATATGTGTTTATGTATATATATGTGTGTTTATGTATATATGTATATATGTAAACATGTATATATATACATATATGTATATATGTATATATGTATATATGTATATATGTATATATGTATATGTGTATACATGTGTATATGCATATATGCGCATATGTGTACGTATTTGTATACAGGTGTATGTACACATATATATATATATATGATTATCTGTACTTTGCATATGCACATATGTGCACGTGTATATACGTGTGTATATACGTGTGTATATACGTGTGTATATACGTGTACATGTGTATATAGACATATGTCTGTGTGTGTAGGTGTGCACGTTTGTATATATATATATGTACATATGCACATGTGCACGTATGTGTATATGTGTAAATACAGATTACACATATGTATGTATATTGGAAGTTGAGTGAAATCTGTTGTCATATCCTCCCCACTGAGGTTTTAGTGTCCTCTTTGTTTACAGTGAGAAAGGGAATGGGCATCTACTCTCACCTTGGTGTATGTATGGCTGAGTCAACAAAGCACAAACCACAGCAATTGCAAGCAAGACGGCGGTGTCCCACCGACAGGAGCATCCTTGATTGGTTTACTTAGCTTACTTCCAATATTTAGAGAATCGACCATCCCTCGCGCATTGAATCGACCTTTGGCTCGACTTCCCCTGAGTGAAGGCATCGTGACCTATGCCTAGCTGTGCAAGGACAAAAGGTTGGAACACTGGGGAGAGTGCCCAAACTTGCAGGGGATCTCACGAACAGAATGACGGAGCACCCGAGCTCACCGAGCTCACTCTGCTTGAGCGCCTTGCATGCAGGCCTCAAGCTGAAGGTGCAAGATACTGAAAGCATCAAACAAGAAAAGCGGAGCAAGAAGTTCATGTCGATGGACCCCCCGCCCCAATTATATTGTTGTTCAATGGCAGAATGATTTCATGCACTGGCTTTTGGCCAGAAGCTTTCGGGAAAGAGAACCAACGAAGCCTGACGGATGCAAACCTTCAAGTTTGTCTCAAACACCTGAAGGTGTCACAAGGAATCCTTCCACCTCGGGGCTGGCTTCCTCTTGATCGCCGAAGAATCCCCTTCTTTCGCAGGTTCCATCGGCCCGGCAGCGCGAAAGAAGCGAAGCCGCCAAGGCGCCGAGCCGGGCATCTCGCCCAAAAAGTGCAGAGCCCTCCTGGGGCTGGGCGCCAGCCACTCCCAGTTGAAACCAGCGGCCCGTTCGGTAAAAAATGGCCGTGAGGTTTGATGAGGGACCCTTTGGTGGACATCAAAGTTCGGTGGGGATTCATGTGCACCCATCACTTTTGAGGCGGTTCCCCATTAATTTTCATGGCCAAATAGGAACCCTGTCGGAGGGAAGGGTTGCTGCGAGAAGCAACGGAGATCTACAGAAGTCTCCCATTCCCATGGCGCATTCGTCATTTGCGTGAGCACGGCTGCCGAGGAAGTCATGACAAAAAAGCAAACACCATGTGTCACCATGTAAGAGGCAAGATATGGCTGTGGGTCAAAAATGGGTACCCCAAATGGAACTCCAGTAAATGGAAACAAGAACTAAAACCTGCGGTCCCCTGGTGGTTTGATTTTGACCCGACCCATATATTTGTGTGGTGGTCTCGCTTTGTGTTCGAGCAGTCTCAGCTCCAATCCTCATCTTCTCCTCGCTTTCCGTTCTTGTGAAGTTTCCCTTTGAACCAACCGAAAAAAGGTATCAAAAAACACCCACTGACCCATCCCCCGATGGGCTTTGCAGCATCGGCCCAAGCTCCTGGGCACCGAAAATTTCTCACGCTGGTCCCTAAGCCTCAATGGGCTGTGGGTCAAAAAAAGTTGGTAACCCCAACATGGAAGCTTGGTACACGGAAACATGGACGATTTAAGAAACCTGCGGTCCATATCCTAGTGGTTTTTGTGGCGAGCTAGTGTTTTGTGGCGGCCTACCTAAGCGAAAGCATGGATGGGCACCAAGATCTGCTCCCACCCACCTGTCTGATGCCAAGCGGCTCCCAATCGGACGCTGAAATAGCGGCGCCATAAGAAACCTCAGCAAGCTCGAGCACATCAACTGGCATGAAGTGCGGTTCGCAAGCCTTGTGAGCAGGCAGTAGCGAGCAACTGGCAAAAAGAAATGGAGAAAGTGCATAATACGGTCTCCAGGAGAATGGTGATTCGGGCATGGTGGGAATGGATCTCGTTGGAAGCTGCTGTTTGTTGTAATTAAGTGGGTGTAAGGCTGCTGGTTTGACCGCGAAACGATTGAGCTGCCTTGACCCAGACTCTGTTCCAGCATCAACTTCCTGGCTTCAAGCAGTACTTGGGGCCTATGCGTTGATTGCAGCCCCAAATCAAGAAAGGACAAAACCAACAGACCATTCAAACCCAGGTCAAAGCTGTGTTCTCTGCCCATAGAACTCAAAAACAAACAAAAAAATAAACGCCCCTAGGCTTGAGCCAACAGCAACTCTCTCTCTCACCGAGCTGCCACCGTGCGTCGGATGGACTGCTCTTCCATCTCTGCAAAGAGGGCCAGCGCATGTTGCCAGCGACCTCCTGCACACAAAGAAAGCTGAATTTGGAGTGGTTCCGATCGATCCCCATAGCTCAAAATTGGAGTCAAACGAGCCGAGCACACTGTTGGTGCAAGGCAAGGCCGAGCGGCAAAACAACCCTGAAACGATTCACAGCAACGTCTAGCGACGTGAGGTGGCGTGTCCACTCCCAAGTGTCAGAGAAGCTTGCGATCTAAAGATTGGCGCCAGTGAACATCCGAAGCTGGAAGGAACATCGCTTGATCAGAAGAGCCAATCTGCCTGTGCCTGGCGACGTTTACGCTTGGAGGATTTAGAAAGTTGGTCGCCAAATGCCTTTGTTGGCGATTAGAAACAGGGTTGTGGACATGGTCCACTTCTGTGATACGACCAATGTACCTTCCTAAGATCTAACGCCCCCCCAAGGGGCCTTTGCAAGATGCTAGTCTTCCAGAATGGGTGTGCCTTGTTTTAGCGACCCCGCCAAGATGATGAGCTTTTCCGCGTGTCCCAGATCAAAAGCCGCAAGAAGCCTTAGAAAAAGATAGGCCCAACTCCTCCTGTCAGCTTCTTGGATCAGAATTGGCTCGAGTCGTTGGTTGCCACGGTGGTTGGGGACTTGTAATGTTTAGGGAAACCCTACCAGACCCCTCCGCAACTGGCGGGGCATACGTACCGTGGGTCAATAAGGCAGGTAGGGTTTCTTAACGTTGACCCCCGATTCATCAACCCCGGTTTATTAATATGGGGGTGGGGGGAAAACCCCATCCAAAAGTGGTCTGATTCCCCATCAAAAACCAAGGGAAAAGCACCCGCCTGATAAACAGGGGTTCTGCTTCATCCGGGGACAACAATAAGAATTCCAAGCAGGTGAGTTATAAGCTCCTTTCTGGCAGGCGCTCATCAGGGCGTTGTAGGTGATCTCGTTGGGCTGCACCACCTACCCGCGTGGATTCCCCACAAAAGAAGATCACATGCTGGTAAAGACAACGAGAAACATGTGGGCAGCGACAAAAAGTACTGGGGTAGACCCATCCCAAACAAATGCCAAACCTGGCGCCGAACCGGTGGTTTGGTGGTTGAGCAGCGCAGCGGCTTCCCATTTACCCACAGGAACCCGGGGTTCAAATCCTCAAATCACCTATCCAACCACCAATTCAGGGTTGCCTGATTTGACTCAGGCACCTGTTTGCGAGCGTGCAAAGAAACAACGCATTACAGACGCCGACTTGGGAGACACTCCTAGTTGACGGGCGGCCAAAGGCGAACGCTATTTTTTTAGGGGACCTTCCCCATTATTTCTAGGGATCCTCCTTTCAAAAAACTCCACTGCCAACGGGAATGGCTCGCGTTTATAAAGAACGATGCTGGAAAGAATTGGACATCAGCCCTCAGGGAAGCAATCAAATTTGGACTCGTCGCCTTCTGCGACTAGCACGCTTCCTTGGAGATCTCAAGAACCAAACAACTCCAATGGCATCGAATCAGCATCCTGAATCAGCTGGATCGTAAGCATTCGCAACGATCAAAATCTCCAATGCGTAGTGTGGTGGCCTTAAAAGGGCCCGCAACTTTGGATAACTTTTGCAAAAAAAAAATGGCATGGCAGCAGCACAAAGGCCACCTAAAGCACAAAGGCCAAGAAATTGCCGATGTATTATTTTGCTGGGCTGTGCTCAGAATAATACGGAACCCCAACAACGAATCCACCTAAAAACGGCGAAAAGCCCGGTTTTGCTACCACCAAACCCGCTAAAACAACAACAAACACGGCTTTGCTACCACCAAACCCACTAAAGCCAACCAAAAAAGACCCAAGGACCAAACCCAGCGACTTCAAAACGCGGCTTCCGCCGCGCCTCTCGCCGCATCTGGCTGAGCACCCGGAGGGCGGCCTCCCACTGCCGCGCCCGCTCGCACGCGGTGATGGCCTGAGCCGTGGGGAGTTGGCGCTCGCTGGACGCTCAGGTGAGTTGGTGGCCCCGAAGTTTTTGCGCCTTCGGCACATTGGAAAAAGGAATCCTTCCGCAGCGCTGGCTTCTTTTTTGCTTACCGCCAACCGGGCTCCGTGCAGCTCAAGCAAGGGCCGACCAGCCAACAGGACCTTCCTTGGACCATCCGTGGATTCCACTGGCTACGCCCAAAGCATGGGCCCCCAAAACTGCCCGTAAGGCCGCCCAAACAAATTCGGGCTACCTTTTCTTGTGACATTAAAACTTTCTTTGTGCTCATTCACAACCCCGACGTGATTTGCTCGGACATTAAATCCCCAGCAAAGCTATCCCTTTGAACGGGGTTGCCAGGCCAACTGGTTGGGTCGACTTGGCTCCACCCCTTGAAGTTGTTCCAAGCGGCAGAGCTGCATGCGATCACGTCACCTTCGCTGACAACTCGAAGGGCGGGCTATGAAGTTGGGTGGGTTTTTGGTGGGACCCTCCAAAATGTCCTTCGGTTTCCCTTTAGCAGCCACACAAAAGGGGTGAACCACCCCCTTTTGTTTGGATCGTACACCAACGCTGGCGAGAGCTGAAGAACTATTGATTCCTGGCTTGGCGAAACGTTATGGCTGGGCATGGCTGCTGAAACTGTTCCCATAGGTCCACACACCCTGCGAGCGCCTTGGGCCCCTTTTAGCTGTTAAAATCTCAATCAAGTAAGCCATGTTTGGTGGCTTGGCTTGGCTTTGATTATTCAACCCCTGCCTCTCTTGACTTTGGAGTGCTCCCAAAGCTCGCTGGTCTTGAACGATCCGCCACTGTGAACTTTGACCGGGGACCCGACATGGTGGACATCCAAATTCCGTGGGATTGTCCAACCACTTGAGATCAGCGTCTCCAGCTCGTAAAATTCGCTTCTCCAAATCAGGTCCTACCCTGGGGTTCCTGGGCTCGAACTGGGTATTATTTTTAGGGAAGCCTACAAAATGGCTTTGGCGGTTTTCCTTTTGGTTTTTCCCTTTTAAAGCCCGAGCCGCAAAAACGGAACACCCAATTGCCTTGCCCTTTGACTTGATGGTGCTCAGCGGGGAATGACCTTCCGGTTCTCTTCCCAAATAGAAGGACACCAAATCGGAAATGGATGATTCATTTATTTTATTCGGGGCCATCCCCTTTTTCATTCCCTGCCTATGGAACCAGCAAGTTATGACCCATCCAAAAAAATCCCACGGATTCCATAGCAGATGGCTCCCCTTTCTCATTCCCTGCCTATCAAATCGAACTAGCAAGTTGACCTGAACCTAAGGATTCCCTTACCGGAAACCATAGCAAACGGTTTTTTTTTGGGTTGAATTGTTGTTTTCCCGTTTTGTTTCTTTTACCTTTTTTTCGGGGTCATTCCATTTCTCATCTCCTTCCCTGCCAATCCTCTCGCCCCGAAAAAACGCCAGCTGGCTATGGGTCAAAATCCAAATCGTACTCCCAGTGAACATCCGATTCAATCCAACCACTAAAATAGGCTCTAAAATGGGTATTGAATTCACCTACCAACCAAAATGGGATCCCAAAACGGTTTTGACCCACAGCCATATGAGAATCCCTCCCCCCCCTCCCTCCCCCACCCCCCTCCCTTGCCCCCCTCTCCCCCCTCCCCTCCCCTCCCCCCCCCCTCGGCGACTCAAGCGCTAGCTGACTCAAACGCCCCGCGCCTGGCATCGCCCGCAGCGTCGCCACCGCCGCTTCCCAGGCGCTGCCTGCGGCGCAGGCGGCCACGCAGGCGCCGCGGAGGATCCCGTCGCCGCAGCGCCGGCGCCTCAAAGCCGGGCGAAGCACCGGGTGATACCAAACTAACATTAACTCAAAATCTAGCCCACCAAAACCATCATTCAAAAATATACAAATTAAAATATAAAATTTCTAATCAAAGTATATAAGTAATTCAATATATCATACCTCCAAATAAAATATATATAGATCCAAAATACATCAAAATATCTTAATAACAAATAATAAACACCAATCTTACGCTCGTCGTCTTTTTGGTTGGACCTCGTGGTCCCTTTTGGTTTCCGGAAACACTACGTGGGAAAATAGCAGATACACAGGGGCGTTCTGCTTTTGGTGGTTTAATGGAAAACCCCTTGGCTGGCAAAGTTTAACTTTTGGTGGTTTAATGGAAAACCCACTGGTTGGCAAAGTTTGACTTTTGGTGGTTTAATGGAAAACCCCATTGGTTGGCAAAGGTTAACTTTTGGTGGTTTAATCGAAAACCCCATTGGTTGGCAAAGTTTGACTTTTGGTGGTTTAGTGGAAAACCCATTGGTTGGCAAAGTTTGACTTTTGGTGGTTTAATGGAAAACCCCTTGGTTGGCAAAGTTTGACTTTTGATGGTTTAATGGAGAACCCCTTGGTTGGCAAAGTTTGACTTTTGATGGTTTAAGGAGAACCCCTTGGTTGGCAAAGTTTAACTTTTGGTGGTTTAATGGAGGACCCCTTGGTTGGCAAAGTTTAACTCTTGCTGGTTCAATGGAAAACCCATTGGTTGGCAAAGTTTAACTTTGGGTGGTTGAATGGGAAACCCACTGGTTGGCAAAGTTTGACTTTTGGTGGTTTAATGGAAAACCCCATTGGTTGGCAAAGGTTAACTTTTGGTGGTTTAATGAAAAACCCCATTGGTTGGCAAAGTTTGACTTTGGTGGTTTAATGGAAAACCTATTGGTTGGCAAAGTTTGACTTTTGGTGGTTTAATGGAAAACCCCTTGGTTGGCAAAGTTTGACTGTTGATGGTTTAATGGAAAATCCATTGCTTGGCAAAGTTTAACTTTTGGTGGTTTAATGGAAAACCCATTAGGTTGGCAAAGTTTAACTCTTGCTGGTTTAATGGAAAACCCATTGGTTGGCAAAAAGTGAAAGTTCTAACATCCAAGCAACATGCACCTCTGGAAGTTTTTACATCCTCAAATAATGGGCTCGTCGTCCTTTTGGGTTTGACCTCCAAAGTGGCAATTTTCCTGCGGTCCTTTTGGGGTTCCCGGTAGAGAACCAATCAAAAAGGAAACATTACAGGGAAAATAGCAGTTACACGGGGGTTGAGCTTTGAGATATCACCGACGTGGCTCCGGCCAAGGAGGGGACATCAGAAAAATGGTGGATTTTGTGGCAGATACGTATCTTTTTGTTGGTGGTTTCCCGAATGGTCATCCCATGTAAGGGACCTTTCGATCAACCCCCACATCCTCGAATGGGGGGCTCGTCGTTGTTGGGTCGGACCTACAACATGGCGTTTTTCAGGTGGTCCTTTTGGGGTTCCCGGTAAAGAACCAACCAAAAAGGGATACCCATGAACAAACACGCAGCCAAGCTGCAAGTGGCTTTCAAAGAAACACACACACACACAGAGACAGAGACACAGACACAGACACACAGACACACAGACACACAGACACACAGACACACAGACACACAGACACACAGACACACAGACACACAGACACACAGACACACAGACACACAGACACACAGACACACACACACCCACACACCCACACACCAAAAGCTGCTCGCTCCCAGCAGTCTTGGGCAGAAAGCCAGACAGGCTTGAAACAACTCCGACCCTTCTTCGCTTTGGCCAACTCAGGGCTGGTGACCTTTTGGCTTACGACCCTCTCCAACACCTGCGCAAAGGCTGGATGCAACAAAGCAGCAGCATTTTCTAGGACGCGATCAATGTTCGGATTAATCGGACCACATCAAATCCCTGGAATTCCCGACTAAGAGGGGAGCCGCCCTGGTATGGGTGTAGGGGTTAGGGGTTGCTTCAAAGTCTAAGAGGAAAACATGGGAAGCAAGCCTTTTTGAGGGTGAGGTGTCAAATCTGTACCTTCCTTTTCGGAAGCCGACCCCTGGATCCCTGCCCAGCTCTTGGATTTGGCTTGGCGCTGCAGCGTGTGGAAGAGACCAAGTGCAGCATCCCACCTGCGGGAGGGATCCAACTGAAACCATCCCAGAGTCCCCCCAACCCAAACCAGGCCTTGCTTGGGCTTTGGTATGGTCTGGTCTTTTGGGTCTTGGGCTGATTGGCCTTTCCATGAGGCTTACCGCCGACCCTTGGGGGTCTTGAGGAGAATTGTAGGGTCGTTGAAACAACGGCAAACACAGCAGAAGGCTTGCAAGGATCAGCCAGTTTGGCTCCGGACTCACGCGCAAAGCAAAGGATAGTAAGGGCTATATACCCCCCAAGGAGCCTCATGGCCGCTCTTTTTCCAAGGGCTTTCGCAACTCAGGGATTGCGGAGGAGGGCATTCGCCAGACCACGAGAAGCCTAGCCGACACGCGCGGCTAGCAGCAAGTGGTTACTCAATGGCTGGGACCAGCCCAGCCAAGCCAACCTAGCACACCCAAAATTGCTGCACTCAACTGCAGGAGCAAAACTCGCCGGGCTGACTTGGAGTTGAAAATGATGGAAGGGGCTCCGATCGACCGGGTCGGGGCCAACATTGCTTGGGGTAAGGCTACGGGCCTATTCTTTTTCCCTCTCCTGTCCCTGTTGGGGAATAATTCCATGCGTGTGGGGAACCAAACCATCACGAATTTGCACCAGGCTCGCTGAATGTCAAATGACCCCCAAAAAGGCCCAAAGGTCACTTGCCAAACCCTTTGCTAGCCCTGGTGAAAACGTCCTGGTCTTCCAAAAGGAGATTCCTCTAGCAACGGCTCAGCGATACCAAGTTGAACTCGGTCTCCCAAAACTGCCTCGGCTTGGACCCCTCACAAGGCGCCTGGGAGCGCAGGCCCGCGCTCAAATGGCTTGGGTTGCACTCAGCTCACTCGAATCTCATCACACCCTCGGCCAAAGGCCAACAAATGGCGGTGGCTCAAACAGCCAGTACCAAAATGTAACCTTGGCAAGTGGAAACATAGACCAAAACCCGCGGTTTGCCTCTCCTGTTGAATTTTGAGCCACAGCCAAATCTCGCCGAAGCGCGGAGTCGCCGAAAGCGCGGAGTCGCCGAAAGCGCGCCTCCCCGCCTGGCCCAACAGCCGCGCGAGCTTTGTCGCGCTCTTCGCGTCCAGGGGTCGGCCCTGGGATCGATCGGGCGGTGAGAGAAATCCAGCGAGGAATGCAGAGGGAACTCCGCCATCATTTGAGAAAAGGGCGAATAAATCAGATGTTGCAAACCTGGTCCCGGCATTGTGGGGACAATTTCACAGCATTCATCGCGTCGTCTCTTCCATCTTCTTGTGTCAAGGCTCTTCTTAGCCTTGCTTGCAAACAGCCACAAAAACCTCCAAACGCCGCGCCACACCCCCCAGACACCAAACCAATCTGGCCAAAGTACCTAGATAGCCAAGTTGCTGCTTGTTTCAGTCACTGTTGCTGGTTTTTTGGGGTAAAGTTCATGGAAACAAGCAGCAACTGGCTATTCAGATACTAGCATTCACAAACCGGACACCTTCGGCGGCATGTGGGCCTTGCATGTCCGAGGTGCGAGAAGCTGCTTCTCCCTGCTCAAGGCCTGGGCCAAGGCCTCAACGCGTGGCTTGGACGTTTGCCCCATTTGGCTCGGGAGAGCTTCCAGCTGACAAGCTCGTGCCGAACCCCGCGGCGAGCGTGTCCCCCAGCCCAAGCGCCTGAGTGCTTGGAAGCCCCGCGGTTTCCAGCAGCTGCGCCACCTGAGAGCTCGCGAGCGCGCGGTTCGTCCGCCCAGTGGGTCAGGTGCCCCGTCGGTTTGGAGCCGGTGGCTCGGGCTTTTGAACACGTTCCTGTGAAGCCAAGATTGGGGAGGGTACCCCCGTCTCCAAACCACCAGCGACAGCGCAACCTGGCACAAAGAATTGGAACCACCCAGCTTGTGGATGTCAAGGAAACCAACAGGAAGCCACCCGGCTTGGCGGGGACACACCCATGAGCCCAAGCTTGAGAGGAATCCAAAACGCGCTCAAGCAACCTCTTTGGCTTCTCATCGATTTTTGCAGGCGCAAAGGAGCAAAACCTGCACTTCAGCTCTGGCATTTTCGTGTAGCATGAGGGTTGCACCAAGGCACCTTTGTGGTTTGGAGAGTTGGAGAGCCCTCCCGTTTGTACAAGTCTCCGCCCACATGGAAGCGCACAGCCCGCTATCCCAAAAGAAAGCCGTCCTCCAAAAAGAGTCTCTTTACCCCACCCGAGGGGAATCGCAGGGAACCCCGTCGGAAAATCAACGAATCAGCCCCGCGCAAGAGGGCCTCCCTGATTTTTTCATTGGAAGGGCCCGGTTTTGGCCCAATGCCGTCGTGACCCCGAAGTGACCACCAAACAAACAAACTGCTCAAGGCTCGGAGCCAGCTCGAGGGACCCCAAGAGGATCTGCTGCATCCAACTCAGAAGTCGAAGAGCTCAAGAGCTCAACGGCTCGCTCGTTTTCGAGGGGCCCAACAAACACTCTGAAAAGACGCCAGTGAGGCCTGGCTTGGCCGTCCCCCATCCCGCGAATATTCGGCCAGGCCGCTTCTCGCCATGCCTCAGGCCTGAGAGGTGGTTCTTTAGGTGCAACTCACGTGCTTTTTGATGGGATCCGTGTCTTCCGTGTCAGAAAAGTCACCGAACTGGAAATCCACGGATTCAGATCGGCAAAAAGCCGGTCTGTGGTCCTGAACGAATGCTTACCAGGTGAACGGCTTGGATTTACTTGTTTTACTCGATGGCAAAGTGCCTGTGTGGGGCCTTCCTCTGCAAGTCTGCGAGCCGGCTCAATGTTTTGACGCGATGTTTTGGATGGATTGCTTTGCTCAGGAATTGCTGGCTGAGGGGTGACTCGGTCTGTTGCAGGCCAACCCACAACGGCAGGAAACCATCTACTAATCAAAAAAAAGTGTCTGAACATGCACATGTATTAGAGGCAGCAGCCCGCAAAAAAGACGGGCGCCTGAATGGGCAAGTTACACGTAGGCAAGTGACCGCCGCAGTTTCAACGAGAGGTAGGGGCATTGATCCTAGACAATGCATTGGCAAAGGGGCACAAGGCACCCTTGAACGATATAATGACTGCCTCATCTTCCCAATGTAATTGCCAAGGCCCTCGAGACTTGCTTCGTGCCGCCCCGAAGCAAACTCGCGCTGCATGCCCACCTGGACTTCCAGTACTGTAACCCTGCATACTCGCTAAGGCTGCTTTCTGCAACGGAGAAAAAAAAGGGCGCAACAAAAAATATGGTTAAGTTTGTTTTGAGCATAAACCATGGGCAAAAACAAAACCCATGGGGTGTTTGAACCATGGGCTTAAAGTTATGAGCAAAACCCATGGGCTCGCCCAACGGCGCGAAGCGACACGCCGACAAAGCCAGGCCTCGGCTCTCCCATCCGGACCGGACCGGGACCGGATTTCGCGGATTTCGCGGACGGCCATGGCGATGGGGCGCAAGCTCTTGGCGGCTAGGGCGGGGAGCTGGCGGAGGACAAAGAAACGCACTTCCGATCGAGTGGACTGGCCAAAAAAAGAAAAACGCTTGTAGTTTTGCCTCCAAAATGGGTTGCCCAACCCAAAAAGTGAATCTTTCGTCCATGAACTTGGGAAGTGAGGAACAACAGCACCTCGTTGCTTGGAGTTTCAGGCGGATTGGGGGGTGAAGTTGTCGCAGTGAGTCCGAATGTGAAGCCAGCATCCCCGGCCAAGATTGGTTTGTCGTATGTTCTCATGAATCCTTAGAAGCAACAATACCAGTGCGAGACAGCAGGTCTCAAGGCTCTACAGTAGAGGCAAAGTCCGGCAGTTCTTTTGCGGACAGCCAAAGTGCGCGAGTGGCCAAGCCCGCGCTTCGGCGCCTGCAAGCCTTTTGGCTGCGGAGAAAGCAAGAAGTCCAAGAATGAAGCAAGGAAGAAGAAGGAGAAAGAAAGCAAAAAAAAAAAAAAGGAAAAGCGGCAAGCGTTACTCGCAAAGGTCGCCTCTATGCTGGTGTTGCAAGGATTTGCAGTTCCTTCGGATTGAATTCGTTGAAAGTCTTGCAGGCTTTTGAGTGCTTCCCCAGGGTTGGCAGTGCAAGACCAATGATTCCCCATCCCCTCTACAACTTGCTGGCGCATGGCAATTCACCGTACGACTGTAGAGCGGTTCAACCTCCGCAAGCCAAAGCCTTTTCTGTCTCGGCCCCGACGATCGAACAAAGTCCCACAGCTTGAAACACAAAAACCCCCAAGAAGACTGCGCATCCCGATTGCGGCAATCTGTCCTCAACCGAGTGGAGATTCGACAGGCGCTCACGTGTCACTTGGGTATGGCTGCTTTAAGGGTACACTTTCTTGGACAGGGTTGCAGGGCCAACCAAAAGGACACAAACCATATGCAGTTCCCACACCTCCTGCCGCAAAACGCCGCTGCGCGTGGCTTCTTTTCTTTGGCCTTCTGCCATGGGAGTGCTTTGACCGCGCATTGGACTAAGTGAGCATTGATCTGCCTCCACAGCCGCACCCTCTCTCTTTCTCTCATGGCACGCTCCAAAAGCGGCGCGAAAAAAAGCGCCCGACTGTGAAGGCGAATGGCATTGGGCAAAACCTGCGAGCTTCTTTGATCCTCCAGCACGAGGCGTGTGGTTGTTTTCTTTGGCTTTTTGGAACCTTTGTGCATTGAAAAGTAAACATAGCACTAGAGGTTGATCCTTGTCTTGTTGTTGGCTTTTTGTAATTACGTTTGTGCATTGAAAAGTAAACATAGCACTAGAGGTTGATCCCTCTGGCAACTCACGGCACACTCATGCCAAGTACAGAAGCTGCACGGGGCCTGTTGCGCGGCGCTTCCGGCCCGCACCCTTGAATAATCCATCCTCAGAAAAAGAAAAAACCGCTCTCGTCTAGTCTTTGCGCAGGTGAGTCACAATCAAACCTTGGTATTAACATGGTGTACCCAGACCAATGTAAAGAACTACAAGGGCGGCCACAACGAATTCTGGCTCGGAGTATCCCTTGCTAACCTCCACTCGCCCGGGTTTTGATTGTGGCTCAGATGTGGTCAACTGTAATTATGCTGTCTATGACCATCCTCAATCACCCGACAATACCATCAACCGACGCTGCCGTTATTCGTTCAAAACAAAGAAACGCGCACTCGTCAATGCGAGTATCACACTGAACTACCCCTCTGTTCACATCGGGAAAAGCGCGTCCCGGAAAGAAGCTCGCAAAAGGTTCCTTGCGCGCAAGGCTCGAAAGCATGCACATAGCGCTGTTAAAACAGGGCCCCTGCACTGCCCTCGGAAGGTCTTCGCGTAGCATTCGCGTGGCATCCGACGAGTGGCCTCTTGTAGGCCAAAGAGTCGAACCGGGGCTCTGGGGCAAGGATGCGGCTGGCAAGTGAGAAGTTGGCGCGGCAAGTCCCCCCCCAAGTTTTTTGACGAACGGATTTGTGTCTAAACTAGGAAGTGGAAGCCAAAAAAGCACGGATGCTCAACATGAGGGACCCGTTTCAACCCCTTTCTGCCCGCGCTTCAAAGGGCGTCTCCAAACAGGGTAACGATTTTGTGCACCTCACCACCTCATCCCGCAATCACAAGCAATGTCTGCTGGTCCTATTTGATTTGCTTCTCTCTGCCATGGGACGCTGAGTGCTGCACGTTTGCCAGTGGCAACTTGGGAAGTTCCCTTTGACTTGGGAGCTTCACATGGCGAAAAAAAGCTTCGGCCGGGAAAAGCTCCTTGCCCCCACTCAGAGCCCTCTTTTTGGCGCTCGCGAAGCAAAACCCGCCACTCCTGCTGAGTGTCCGGGCATCTCCGCGCAAACCGCGCAATGAACGTTGGGAACTCGGCTAGACGCAACGCGCATTCGAATCCTGAGATATCCTTCTAAGGTTGAAATCAGGAGCCGTACCCAATTTGGCTACAAACCTCGGTTCCCAAAAACATGAGGTCAACTTTTGGATGTTCAACAAGAAGCCGAAAGGAAACCCATGGCTGGACAAAGAGACAAAGACTGAAAATTGCACAGCCAATCGTGCATGCATCCCGCCTATTTGAGCTTGTTTCTCGGCTGGAAGGGCGGGGCAACTCCAAAACCGGTGGTTTCCTGCTGGTCTCCCTCGGAAAAACAGGAGGAAGTAAACGGACCTGATGTCAGAAACCCATCTGGGAAGGGCTACCCTCCCACCTTTTCTACCAGAAGGAACCGGTCCTGGCCTGGCCGAGACCGGGTCCCGAACGTCAGGGTTCCATGTGAATGGGAAATAGTCCTGTGGGTTCCATTTTTTGACAAAGTGGTTACTGGAACGCAGTCGTTGACTTCCCCAAAAGGCAAGCCCCCATAGGTGCTTCGTTAACAATAGATGGCACTGGCGATGGGCTTCATTCCATTTTACCAGGAAAACCCATCTAGGGAAGCCCCAAAATAGATGTCCTTCGCCTTTTTTCGCCCCAAAAGGCAAGCCCCTGGGTTTAAGTCTACCTTGTAGTCAAACAACGGAACCCTGGTCGGAGTGTCTCCGATCTCCGGCTTGGGGCCAAATGACCCGCAAACCCGCAGGCGGTCAATATGGCAATGTTGCTTTTTTGGAGTTGGTGTAAAGGGAGAAGAAAAAAAAGGAAAACCAATATGTCTCTTCTTTTGTTTTTCCCCCTTGTCTTTTGTTGGGCTGGGGTCTCCTCAAAAATGACCAGCGCATATGTACTTGTCTGTTCTGAAACTGCAAAAATATGTGCCGCAAACCTACTTCACATCTTCACTCGTGCCAAGTCAGCACTCTTGAAAACAAGAAGGGTAGATCTAGTTGTACCCCGCACATTTCCAGCGGTCCAATTCTGTTCGGATAGAGGCCCCCAACAACCCAAAAGGAATCTGTGATGGTTTCCCAAACAGAACCATCGGGCAAACGAACGGGGGCTAACCTATAGAGTCAATAACACAGCCATGGCTCCAAGGATCTCTTTACCATCCTCAACACCCCTCTAGCTTGGACCATTGATGCTCAACACCAAAAAGGGAGATGGAAATACGGCGGGTTCCTGGCTCAACAGCCTTCGGTGTCCCTAGTTCCTTGGCATTTTTAGGGTTTTTCCCGCCGCCCTGGGCTTTCGTCTGGCGTCTTTCGTCCGTCCCTCGTTTCCCCCTCTCGGGGCGCCTCATCTCACCCGTAAATCCCCACGGAGGTCGCTGATCTGACCGGTGGGTCCCGGTGGGTCCCGGTGGGCCACCGGAAAGAAGGGGGGCGAATCGGGCAGGGATCCGGAGGCATGACAACACCTGAACACATTGCAACTTGTTTTCTGGTGGGGACAAAACCTTTATGTTGGCGTTGAAAAAGCAATCCATGTTTCAATTGGTTGCAGAATGGAGATCTTTAAGGAGCCCTGATCAGGTGGTGTTGATTCAATGGTAACAACAAGACTATTTTTGCTTGGACTATATGAAGTAAAATATAACGAGGTCCTCCAGTAGAGAGGAGTTAGAATAAGAGTACCCAACTTTTTTTCAGGACGTCTATTTTAGTAGGGGAACTCTCCCAACCAAGAAAGGGGTAAGAAAGGGCACCTAACTGGGGGACCTAGTCCGGTTTCCGGGGAAGAAGGCAGTGTGGTAAGCTCTTGCTGGTGCTCAGTGAATGAGGGAATGAACCTGGGGATTCCCGAATAAAGGAAACCACCAGTTGGATGGTTTATAAGCGTCATTCCATTTCTCCTTCCCTATCGCACCAGCAAGCCTTTTGGGGGAATGAGCCACGGCACAAATCTGACCTGTGACCAGACTTAGGCGTGCAACAGACCTACAAATTTCAGCCGAGCGAGGAAACGATAAACCAACATTGCAACGGGACAGAAAAGCTTTGTACTCTCCAAACTGGCGTGGAACCCGAAACAACATGTTTCGAGGCATATCATGCTTGTTCCGGAAATGTCATTTGAGGTTCCAGGCTAACTTGCGAACCGGATTCAACAAGGACGCCAACTTGGAGCAAAGCTCAACACATCTCAAGAAGCCCTTCCCACGCACAGCTCCTGAAGTAGCGCAATTAGGGGTGCTCTTTCAAGTCTTCACACCCGCGCGGTGAGGGTCTGTTTTCAACCCAGAAAAGAGCCGGAGGACACATCAGTCCATCAGACCCAACAAAGGAGGACCATCTCATGCCCAAACAAAACCATGGTTTCCCCCCGTTTTCCCCATGTCCTGGAGAAAAAAGAAAAGAAAAAAAAGCACCACAAACCATGCCCCTGGTAATTCTTCTGGAAAAAAAGCGGCTACAAAAACCATCCTTCGGGTACTCAGGAAAAAGCACCTACAAAAACCATCTTTCAGGTCTAAACCATCTGCCCAACCCCCCCCCAATCCCCAAACCCCCCCCCCAATCCCCACTCCCCCCATCCCCGTTAAGCCCTCCCGCTCTCGGGTCCCGCTCTCTCCCGCCGGCTTGCGCCTTGAGCCTCGGCCCAGCGGCGCTGGGCTTCGGCTTCGCCTCCCGACGCGCCGGCGGCTTCGCGGGCTCCGGCTTCGCCTCACGCGACAAAATCGGCGCGCGGAAGAGGCCGAAGGGACGTCGTTGTTTTTTCCTTTTTTCATTATTTTTTTTGGAGAACGTAAACCCCATGGACCAGGTTCTGGGTGTAATTAAGTCTACCCTGAAGGTTGGTCCAAAAGGTAGAAATCTTCGGTAAAAAGAGTATGTGAGCACACCCCAAACCTGGGACGTCCCCTTGAAGGCCATGACATTTTGTAGAGAATGTTAGGGGGAGAATCTGGGAGGGAGAGAAGTGGCGATCTTGTGGTTGGAGATGAACGCCGGAAAGCCGGCTCAAAACCCCAGAGTTCGGAAGGAACCTGAGAGGCAACGGTCCCAAGCGCCAGCTTGAGCAAGAGAAAAGCCAGTCGACTGCCACAGGGTCGAGTGTTGGACTCGACCCTGTTCTCCAATTGCTTGGACACGGTGATTTTCAAAGTAGAACCCCCCCCCCCCAGCCCCCAGCCCCCAGCCTCCAGCCCCCAGCCCCCAGCCCCCAGCCCCCTAAAACCGGGCCTCCAAATGCATTGGTTTGGAGGGCGCCCGCTCGGCAGCGCAGCTCAAGAGCCGGGGGTACCGCACCGGGGACGTGATGGATTCCGGCTCCGGCTCCTGGTGCTCGACAGAACGAGTCCGGGGGTTGGGAAGGAACCGTTTTGGGGATTCCCGAAGAAAGGAAACCATAGGCTGGACGGTTTCTTTCTTGGGGTCATTCCATGTCTCATTCCCGGAGAACCAGCAATATTCACATGGAACCTGAAGCAAAAGGGGGGGGTCCGAAAGGAAGACCATTGTCCTTTCAAGGGACCGGGTCCCGAACGTCAGGTTCCATGTGAATTGGTGGGAGGGTATCTGAAGCGGAGTGGAACCCACCCCCCTTTTTCTGCGGAACCCCGTGGTTCTGGCCAAATCCGAGGATTCAAACCCCCCCCTCCAGCGCCTGACGCACAAAGCTCCCCCTGGAAGACCCAGGCGTTCACAACCCCAGGTCGCAAGAAATGAGGCAAACGCACGTCCTTCCTTTGGAAAAGGCTGTTGCTCTGAACCCGATCGGGGTAGACAAACACCAAAGGAGGTTCCGGTTAGCAACGTAGCGACGTAGCGACGCAGCGACAAAAAATCGACTTATCGACTTCAGGCTTGCCGCTTGCATCAAAAGCGACCCTGGCAATGGCAACCCTCCACTGAAAGGGCGCTGGACATTGGCCCCCCAGCCCTTGGACCTTCGTGGCCTCGGATTCCGTGAGAGCTATGGCCCGGGATGCCCCGGCTTTTGTGCCCCATGGGATTCAAGGAAGCCGGTTCAGGGGGAGTTCTTGTCAGGTCATTTGTTTGGCACATACATTGCGCTGACACAAATGCAGGCGCAAAGGCTGCTTGCGAGAGAAAGAAACTAGACGCCTGCGGGGGAGGCGTGTCGAAGCCACACAAAAAAAAAAGATGCCTGAAAGTACGAGTCGTGTTGCCAAGTCTTCAAGTACGAGTCGTGTTGCCAAGTACGAGAACGAGGCGAAAGCAAACGAAAAAGGTGCGGAAAAGAGCAAGGGAAAAAGACCAGTTCCAAGAGACCCTTCAAGCTCTCTGATTGCTTGGATCAAGCATCGAGGCCCTCCATAGTTGGAACATGGCACGTTCTGGTCTGCTCTGGTTCTGACGCACCTTTGTGGCATATCGTGTTGTTTCTAGACCAGATTGAGCACACCAAGCTGTTGGACACAGCAATCAAAGTGGTTCTCCAAGAAGCATCGAGCCAACGCAAACAAATGAAAGCCTCCGCGACTGCAGTAGCAATCAAGAACTCAGGGACCCGTTGCCAACTTCGTGACTTGTTTGGCGGGTCTTTGAAGGCGCCAGGCATCCCAAAAGGAAAGAGAGCGGGACGCTGTGAGCGTGCGCTCTTTTCACTTTTTGAGTGGAAACTCGAGTTGAACTATGTTTGCATAAGTGTGTTTAAATGTCAGCTGAATTATAAAGAAATTTGGTTGGAAAGAACATACTGTGTAAACTATCAATTAAAATAGACGTATTTCAATTCAAATTCTATTATGAAACAGAAGTTGTGATTGGATTCATTCCTTATCAAGTTGCTTCTAAACTCAACTTCAGTTGCAGTGTTCCATTGGGAAAGGATTTACATCTAAATTCTAAATGTAAGATGTAATTCCCAGTAGGATTATGATCAAGTCTTTCCTTATTCCTGTTCAAAAATCAGACTGAATCTTGGAGAGCGGCCGTTGGTGGAGATGTGAAATGAGTACGAAAAACGCCGCAAAACACTGTTTTACTGTGTTTTCTGACCATGGTAGTTCTGGGCTAGTACACAAAAAAACTCTTCTCTAGGATCTCTGAATTATCTCCTTCTGAAATCTGCTTAATATCTTTACCAAATTCTTCCCAATGTCTAATTGAAATTACCTAGAATTATCAAGGAAAGACCCCAATCAAATTGTATCGTTTAAATTAGAATTTCAAGTGTGAAAAAATATATTTCAACATAAATGTTCCACGGGAATTCCGTTTCCAATAGAATTGTTCTTACAAATCAGTATGCATCTAAACAACATGTATTACACATGTTCGGAACCTGCATCCGAATTCTACTCAATAGATTTATCAAGTTCTACTTAATTCCTATCTCACATTGAATATAGTTTAACAATGGAATAATCCAAACATAAGTTTTGGTTTAAAGTAAAACTTAAAGTAATGTTTTTCTATTTCAAAGTGGATGTTGCCCAGGCTTTCCAGTCCAATAGAATTGTCTTTGCAGATCAGTAGGCATTTGAGCAGCTTAACAATCTTGGGATCTCTAACCTCTTTCTTATGAGCTCTACTTGATATATTTACCAAGTTCTACTTGGATAATTCTAATTACAATTAAGAAGAATGTAATAAGGAACGGGTCCAACCACAGGAAACCATCTCTAGCTTACTGTACTAGGGCATGGATGTGAACTACACCAGCGCACTTCATCACAGAAGCTCTTGCAAACAGGCCGGAAATGGTAAAGTACACAAAACCAACTAGAGACAACCAAGCAAAAACATAGTATGTCCCCTCAAGTCAGGACAGCTGACAGAGTCTGATTTTTTTGTTGGTTTTCTCGAGGTTGTCTTGCACTTTTCCAAAGAAATGCAAACACCTCAAGAAAACCAAAAAACACACAAACAAGAAAAAAGACTACCCCCCGCCCCAGAAAGTAGTCCAAACACCGCTACACGATCCAAAGAGGCAGCTACGAGAGGAACCGACGCCAATCCCGCGGCAAGCAGTGGCCCCCCGCCTTGGCACCCCTTGGCGAAACCTTGGTGCATCGGACATCCTTTTAAACATTCGGCTGGAGAACCACCTCGCGGCCTACCTCTAGGAAGAAAGGGGACCCTTTCAATAACTTCAAGGTGGCTACACCTTTTTCTTGGGATGCCAACAACAATCCCTGTCTCCAAGAGACCGCGCAACCTATGGCCATTGAATCTTAGTCCGGAGCTATCCCGGAGCCACGAAGGAATGATCAAGGTCAGAGGTTCCAGCAACCTAGTTCTCTCCCCCCCTCCCAAAGGCCCCCCTCCCCCCCCCCCCGAAAACCAGCTGGGCAACACCTCTTCTTGGACTCTCATGGGGTCATTCGCCGCAAATCGGTGGTTCACCAATCCATTCCCGAGCTGTCCAGTGACCCTCGGAGAAAAAAATAAGAAGAAAAAAACTGTTTGAGGTTGATCCCATTTGGGTGTGTCTTCTTTTGATGGTACCCTTTTTCGGGGTGGTTGAAAAGGAAACCAGCAAGAAACTTACCATTTATCATTTTTGATTTGCTTTATTTATTCCTCTATATATATATATATATATATTATATATATATATTTGGCGGGTGGGTTCGGCAACAAAAACACCCATGTCTGGCGTCTCCCACCAAACAATCCGCTGGGCTTCCCCGCCCGGGGCTCGCCGGGGGTGAGATGGCCCTCCGACTCCGGCTGCGACCGTGGCTCCCGCGGCTGCGGCTCACGGCAAATGAGCTTGTCCTCGGTGGCATAGGGTGGATGGGTGGGTGGGGTGGGGTGTGGGGTGTGGGGTGTGGGGTGGGGTGGGGTGGGGTGGGGTGGGGTGGGGTGTGGGGTGTGGGGTGTGGGGTGTGGGGTGGTGGGGGTGTGGGGTGTGGGGTGGGGTGGGGTGTGGCGTGTGGGGTTGGGGTGTGGGGTGTGGGGGTGGGGTGTGGGGTGTGGTGTGGTGGTGTGGTGTGGTGTGGGTGTGGGGTGGTGTGGTGGGTGTGGTGGGTGTGGGGTGTGGTGTGGTGTGGGGGTGTGGTGTGGTGTGGGTGGGGTGGGGTGGGGTGGGGTGGGGTGGGGTGGGGTGGGGTGGGGTGGGGTGGGGTGGGGTGGGGTGGGGTGGGGTGGGGTGGGGTGGGGTGGGGTGGGGTGGGGTGGGGTGGGGTGGGGTGGGGTGGGGTGGGGTGGGGTGGGGTGGGGTGGGGTGGGGTGGGGTGGGGTGGGGTGGGGTGGGGTGGGGTGGGGTGGGGTGGGGTGGGGTGGGGTGGGGTGGGGTGGGGTGGGGTGGGGTGGGGTGGGGTGGGGTGGGGTGGGGTGGGGTGGGGTGGGGTGGG